AGACGGGCTCGACGCGGCTGCCCGGCTGTCACATGTGCAGTGTGTAACAGGTTTCCTGTCTTAGGCCCTTTGGCATCATGCAGAGAACCACTGTTACTGTGTGTTCCCAGAGCCAGAGGAAGGTAGGAACAGCCGGCTGTAGGCTCACAGCAGCGCTGGTGCGGTCTGACTGCGAAACACCGCCTCCCTCCTCCACTCTCACCGAGCAGCTGTCTCTCTCTGGAGTTGCTCCTTGCTGGACATGAAGATGCTCCTTTAGTGAAGTGGGTGAATACAGGTACAGGTGCGCTTGATGGCTTGTAGAACATATATGCGTACTCACAAGAGGCATTTCAGGCGGATTCAGCTGCGACTTGCTCATGACCTGAGTCATTATGACTAGACCATAAGTACTGTTACAGTGGTGGTTAAGATATTATGTCCAACCATCTAAGTGGTTATTATTAGCATGATTCTCTATTATCCCTCTACAAATAGTTACAATAGGTCAATAAAGTCTCTATAAATAGTCTAAAAGTAAAAAGAAAAAAGTTGGATCTAGTATTATGTATGGTTTATTATTTCTGAATTTGGCTTCCAGTATTGCAAAAACATATACATATCTCAAGTCAAAGATGGAGCATGTGCTCCAATAACTGATTGTATTCTGTCAATAAAACAGATTGTTAGTATATTAATGTGATTTTGTCTTTAAGGAGTCTTCCTATAAATATTAGTATGAAAGGGTATGAAAATATATTAGAAAAGAGACATGAACTTCATGTCTAATATAAGATGATCTGAAAAGTTAAAAAAAACTCAAAAGAGAATTTAGTATTATACATTTCAGTTGTTTTGTCAGTTGGATTACAATTGCAATGATGGCAATTTGACTGCAGCTTGTCTCACGCTGAACAGTAAAAATATGCATAGCAGTGTTAATGTTGCATTTTAGTATAAAGTGTTCAATTGTAACAACTGACAACCACAACTGAAGGCACTGTGGAAAACGGTGAAATTAAGTCACTGCGTGAGGATGGGAGTGTGTATATTTCTCTGATCTATTGTGTTAAAACAACACTGTGGGCATTTGTGAACCTTAAAACCATGTGGTTCTTGCACCTACCTTTTAGATACAACTAACATTTCAGGCCTGAAACAGTCCTGCAGCAGCAACTGGCTGTGATGGACTGAGAGGGCACACCCTTACCTCCAGACAGGATTGGAACCTGGAACCTACTCCTACTGTGAGTTGACTGTTCGAAACACTGTACCACCACGGAGCCCAGACCAGTCAAAGAAAATTTAAAAAAGTCAAAAGTCCCTAAATATATATTCTAAATAGTATCATGTTAATGCAGTTTGACCCAAACAGTAACTCTATGTGTTCCTGAACTGTGACAACACTGCACACCTAGAAATTCAACAGGGGAGAGATAAGGCAGTTTTTAAAATCTTTTCACATGACAACTCTTGAATACAATTAAGTAACATAAATGTGTATATACTAAGACAGTAGTGGAATGCCACAATCTAAATAACAGGAAGGTCAACTGTTGTTTTGAGAAGTGTATAAATAATTTTCATTTCAAACTCTAATCACAGTCCCTGAAAAAACATACCATTTTAAAAACACTGAATTACAGAGCTTTGCATGGTGTTATGGCTTTCATTTATCTGGTGGAGCTCAGATATTTGTAGAATCTGTACTCATGGCATCCAAAGCAATCCCCCTCTGAGGCACATTATTGCTCATCTCTTCTCTCATGTGTCATAAAACGGCTCTGTGTAAATATAGGTAAATGTGTGCTTGTAGAAGTAGAGCCTGTTCCGAGCACAAAAAGCTCACACAAAAAGCTTTCTACGCTCTCAAATGATTTAATTTGTCAGTTGACGTGTGTATTATCATGCTGCAAGAGGATATATACTTGTGCTTTCACAAAAGGCTGTTAGGAGTGCTGCACACATAAAGTAAAATCCCCTGCTCTCAAAGATGGTACCTCAAAGATAAAAATGGTTCCAATGTATTCCTGCTTTATTGTTAGGAGCCCAAAACCTGCTTTTGCCAGTAAATCTTTATTTGTCTGCTTGTCATGTTCAGGTGTTCAAAGCTTTCCAGACTCAAAGCATTTGGTGTCACCTAAAATATTCTTTGCATTGTGTCTTCCACCACTGGAGCACCACCAGTGAATTCATATTTAAACAATTTACCTAGCCACAGGCCAGAATCCCTTTTCATATCCAACTCTTTGATCCTTAACGAGTTAATGGACCTAATTTCTCCAGATGTCAACACCTCAGAAATTAAATGCTCCAATATAAGGCTACGACTGATTGGTCGTTGGAAAGGCACACAGTGGAAAGATCATATGCACCACAATAAACTGGCAGCTCAATCACACACTTTGTAATTCAGCTATGCTGTCCACAAGCATCTACAGCTTACAACTACTCTACTGCAAATGTATGGTAATTGAGGGTTATCAGTGTCACCAGTTTTATTAAATCAAAGAGTTGGCAGTCACAAGCAGGCAGATATGCCACCAGGTCCCAAGAGATATACTGGGTGCTCCCCGCCCCGTTCGCTCCAGTACACTGACCCTTATCTTCCCTGGGTTCTGCAGAAAATAGGGGCCAGTGGGGCACGTCACTTTCTACAGCTTGCAGGAAAGATCAGGTGTCCTGGTTAGGAGACATGGTCAAAATCTTAACTTTATTACAAAAAATGTGCAAAGCCACATAATGTTGAGTTGGAATCAGAGAGGAATTTGCACCACTGTTTGAAACGTTTTTCCTATTTAGTGATACCTAAATGTAAAAGCAAATGACCAAAAGGCTTCTCAACAAAATATTCCAACAGGCTGTGACCAGGCTATTATAAGGACTTGAAGTCCATAAAGAGGAATAAACCACCTGTGCCCCTTTCTGTTCGGTAAGGCAAGTGTCTCGACTGTAGGTAATTTCTATTGGCAGAAAAAAAAAACTAAACGAAATAACCAAAAAGGAAGCCTCATTACCAGCAAACACAGAGGGACCTTCAATCGACATTTGTCCTTGAGCATGACATGGACAAAGTTCGGATGAAATGTGAATGTCTTCTACTTACGAAAAAATGAGTGTGAAGGACTCTGTGTACTCACTTTTTCCTCTGGGACTGCTTTCCTGGATTTTTTCTTCCTACTTTCCTCCTCGGATTAGGGATTCAAAGACGTCAGCTGTGTCCTTCCATTGCGCCTCGGCGGAATGTTGTCTAAAATAAAGAGGCGCACAGCCACAGGTTGCAGCGCTCGCTGTAAGGATGCTGCGGTCTGGTGGATCTGACCCGGGTGATCACGCAAAACTCCACCGGGAACAGCCCGCGGTAAATTCCAAAAGACTGGCCTGTTGTTCGTGCGCAGTCCGTTTTTTCGCACCGGACCAAAGTTATCAGCCAGACGCGCAGTTGCCCGGCGTTACGCGTCCGGAGCAGCAAGCAACTGTTGGCTGGCGCTGGAGACCATGAGAGACCGCGGCGACCCGCGTGAGCGCAGCTGCATCAGTCTGTGAAAGTCTAAAGAGAAGATGCTACAGTCTCCTCGTCCGCTCCTGTTGAGGTGGGAGGGAGACAGCGGGGAACCGGGTGTCGTGTCCGTGATGCAATGCGGGTGCCGCCAGTGCTCCGGCCCGCAGTGTTCTCCCCGTGTGCGGAGACCCAGGCCCTCCGCTCATATCTGTGGCGGCGCGACGCACATTCGTCTTAATTAGCGGCGGTTGGGATCGTCTGCAGAAACATGACTAAGCTCTGATTGAGAAAAAAAAAAAAAAAAAAAAAGATCATACGTTGAGAGTTCACACTCTGTCTTTTTCTCTGCATCTCTCTCAATGTATGTGACACCGGCGCAAAACACTTAAAAAGGTCTAATATTAGGCGTCATGCGTATTCGTAATGGCACATTGTACCAGCCCGGGCGCAAAAAGGAAGAGGGCAGGGGCTCAGTCACTGACCAAAACGAAGTGATTGAGATGAGCACGTGGGTCTGAAAATGAGCATGTATGGTACAGCCTCATTGTTTCTTTCTAACCTGGTCTTTGACAGTCCTCACACCTCCTCAGCCACAAATAACAATTGAATTAGAGTCACTGCGTCCTCCAGCTGCGACCTCCAGACAAGAAACCCCACAGAATGATTGCATGTCTCCATGTTCAAACACTTTGTACCTTTTTTCTTAGGTGTGCGGCAGGTGAAGACATTACTTGAATAAAGTGATGTCACCTTGTCCAGCCAAGGTACTGTACTCAAAAAAGCTTATTCTTACCACAGAAATGACACATAATAAAACTAGGTTAGGATATCTTCAATGAAATCACAGGATGTGTCTAAAATCCTACAAATATTAAGTCCAGTAGGCTAAAGGCATTTAGTGACGGGTTTTATGTTAATATTTAAGTCAGGTTACATGCCCACACAGCGTGGATGTGTTTACACACAGACGGCCTGCGTAGCTCTCTCTAGTATTTGTAAGTTGTATTTAAAGCCAACCTACTGTTTTTATTGGCCAGACCAAACCTTGACAAAAGTAAATATCCCCAGCAGTTGTGATTGGATCTGGTAGCAGCTGTGCAAATGAATTATTTCACATTAATGAACCGTTGACTCACCACTCACCAAAACATGCATACTATCAAGCCAAGCAGGAAGCCAAAGAGTTCCACAAATGTTGATAACTTCCCATTTTTGAGTGAATAACCCTCTGTCATGCTGAGCGGCGGAGACGTTGGGGAGCATCCTGCTCTCAGGCAAGATAACACTTGTACGTCCCACAACTAAAGGAGAAGGTGGGAAATCAAGTGGTGAGCAGAAAAAAGGACACACAGCTCCTTCCTAGGAGGCACCACAACAGACTCACGGCATTTGTCATCTGGCACATCTCTTAATGGATCTAACGTGGACTCCAAAGGAGCAGCCAAGCGGGGCATGGCTTTGAGCAGTAAGTACCAGGTCTATAAAGTTTGAGCACAGTGGACTTTTAATAAGCTGACTTATGGCTGCAGCTGTTCAGTTTTTATGGGTTGATCCAGGACTCCTGCTGCTGTGTATGGTAGCCTCTGAGGTGTGGGGGACTGAGACCAAACCCATAGAGTTTGTGTGCAGCAGAACTGCCAGGAAGGCTATGAATATTGGGCCAGAGATCGAGACTGCACTGGTGAGGATACGTCTGTCCCTCCCGTTATCTTTGAGATAAACTTTCCTAACATTTTTTTTCTCAGCTCCACCTCTGGATGCTGAATCTTATCTCCCCACCTGCTACCTGCCACTCATCAGTCTGTCTGTTGTCGGTGCATCAGTCGTCTGCCTCTTTCATTTCAGAGTGACTGCATCAACTCCACGAGCCTCTCCACGCTGGTTCAGTTACCCTGCACCGAGCTTCATATTGCAACCTGGGGGGAAAAAACAGTATGTGGGCACATTTAGCCAATTTCCATTTTCTGTGGGTGTGTTTTTTTTTTTTGTCCCTGTGTGAAATATTGACTTTCCTGCTTTTTTTATACATGTGTATGACGGCAGGATCAGGAGAAGAGAGGTGACATAGTTGCATCGCTGAATCTTCTTTTTGAAGGGGTCAAGAATTTAAGAATCCTTACAGAAGGAGAATGTGGGACTGTGCCACTGCAGAGGCTGGAAAACAACATCAACAACTACCTAATGATACTCACACATCTTCAGCTGAGTGTAAGTAGGGTAATCACTCTGATGGATTGCATGAACTACCAGTAATCACTTTATATACACAAAACTATTTCAATGGCTCTGTATCACTGTTGAGATGAACAGATTCCCATTAGTATTAACATTTAAATGCTTTATATTATTGGTTAACTTTTAATCGTTTGGATAGCTGAACATTTATGCTGCCTGCACTGTCAAATCTGACCCAAAACACAAACAGATCACAATACGTTGTGTGAAAATTCTCAAACATTGGGCTGTCACATACGCAAGGGGATTCTTTCCCATTGGCCTGTATTTAATTGTGACGTGTAATCGATTTCCTCTGGTGAGTAACTATCCGGGATTCTCGTAAAGTCCGTGCCATGAGTGATGATATAGTGTTGTGTGATCCCAGGCCTTCCTTCCTCAGGACAAGAAAAAGATAGCAGTGCATACTTTCCAAGTGAGGCAGTCTTTCTCGTAAGTCCTGTGTGCAGGAAGGATGACATCTGCATGTGTAAACTTGAGGGGCTGCTTTGTGCATTTTTGTAGTACTAATCACAACTCTCTAATCTCAAAATGGCAGATTTAAAAATAATATTTTATCTTACATTTAAAGCATGCTTTTGGGTTTCTTTTAATCTCCACCACCATCCTTGTTGTGTTTTCTGTTGTGGACCAGCAGGGGCCACTGTTGCATCCATCATTGTCCTGTATTCCTCGAAGGACCCAGAGTCTGAAAGCTGTCTTGCGGAGCTACAACCAGCTCATCTCAGGCAAACTGGAGCGTTTCATTGTGAACCTGGAAGACAGATGCACTCACCACTGAAGAACATATGTATATGTGTATGTATATGTATGTATATATGGATTGATGAACTGATATCATATCATTCAGTATGAAAAGGAAAGTTCTATGTCTGAGCTCATGTTTGCCAAAATGCATATACAAACAAGGAACACTTTAAAGGATGAACCGTTTGAGGCCTCTCAACAGATGAAAGAGGAGTATTTGCATCCATCCTGTTTCTATCCCAGCTGTCATTGTACACCCTGGGCAGGTCGACAGTCCATCACTGGGCCCCACAGAGACGAATGAGATAGATAACCATGCACGGCCACGATCACTCCTACAGGCAAATTAGAGTAACCGATTAACCTAACAAGCCTGTTTCTGGACTTTGGGAGGAAACCAGAGCACCTGGAGACAGAGAACATTTGTGAAATTTACTATCAAACTAGGGAAAATCCAACCGATACATATTCACTTATTTGGTGTTTTATAACAATAGTAGATTTGATTGAATTAAATATGGTGTTGAATATGATCTTGACAATGTAAAGGCAATAACATATGAATCAGAGTATTTCCCTTATGACCTTGTATGGGGGCAATATCTTGAAAGAGAAAATCCTCATCACGAGAAAAAACAGGATAAATGTATAAATAGTGACAAATTTGTAATGTTTTGCTGCCACCTTCACTTAAAGTCAGAATCTGAACCTAAATTATCAATATATGTGGCTTTCATTGCAAATCATGATTATTTCCTGAGTTTTCACATTATTTGAAAATACAAAGCTCCATTAATGAACTCTCCTAAAATATGATAGTCAAACTAAATCATGAGCTCATGGTCAGCTTGGTTGTTTGGATGAGTGTATTTTAAAACTCCCTAACATGTGGTACAAATATCTGCTAATACAGATATATTTAACATTTTCTGAATCTATAAAATATATTTAGTTGAGATAACTAATCCTCATTGCAACACAATTTAGGAGCATGGATTTGGAAGGAAGACTGGTTTTCACTCTCTGCACTTTTATGTCTTACATTGTTATTTTAAAGGATATTGTCGCTGTGACTTCTCTGTGAACTTTCGCATAAAAATATGTTGGTTTTGCATCTAAAACGAATTTCTTTGCATTGTGGCATTTGGTCGATGAAACGAAGCTCGAATTAAAAGTTCGAATAGGCTACAATCAAATTGTCTTCAATTTTTATGACTCATCATTTCTGCTGATGCCTGTTGAGTTTGTCTTCTGCTTGTCTGGAGGGTGCGGATGCAATTAATCACTTAACTGCTTTAAAAACACCGACGTGGCGCAGGGCCCCACGCACCCCCACGCCACGCGCTCCTCATTAGCAGACGTCATTAGCGGCTGGGAAACAGCTGCTCACGGTTCCGGGCGGCATGGCGTCTCACCGGCTCTGACCCGGGTTTCTAACCTCTGACTGATAGATAACCCTCAGCCTTTTAAAACAGTTCTCGTTAGTGAAAGCACAATTGTCGGCAAATGTCTGAGAGGACTCCTCTACTGCACTACCGGCTGACCACCTGCGCCGGTCCCGAGACCTCCCATGGGGCCGAACGCACCGGGCCACGGGCCGAGCGGGACGCCCGGAAGCTGGGAGTGGTGTTTGGAGTGGTCATACCGACCTTACTGTCCATGTTCAGCGTCGTCGTGTTCTTGAGAGTCGGTGAGTAGCTGAAGTGGCTTGTAAATGTAAACTGAAAAAATAAAGATACAAATAGCCAGACTTAAGCTCAGTCCTCTCCAATAAAATCAGAAAGCCATTATTTAATTATTTCTCAAGATTACGTCATTGTTTTTCCCCATTATGAAAGATGTACTAAGGCACACTTCTCAAATTGGACCAAAATGCAAACTGTAAACTTATGCAGATAGAAGTGTGTGTGTGTACACACACACGAAAGGTTTGTGTTGTAAAATAATATTATTATTCAATAATATTGGTTCCACCTTGCCCTTTCAGGCTTTGTTGTGGGTCAGGCCGGACTTTACCAGTCTGTTGCCATGCTCCTGGTGGCCTACTTCATCGTCACAATGACTGTGCTCTCCATTTGTGCCATTTCCACCAACGGCGCTTTAGATGCTGGAGGTGCATATTGTATCCTTTTGTGCCTGAACAAAACTACTCTGCACATTTAAAGTTTCACAAATAAAGTGACCATTCTTCATTCTAATCGTGAATTTCTTCATCCATGATGTTGCTAAAGAAATTCTTGATCAGTGGTTATGTCATTGCTGTTTGTTCCCAGGTTGAATTAGTTTAGTACTCCTTAGTCCTAATTCCTAGATATGATCAGCCGAGCGCTGGGTCCAGAGTTCGGTGGAAGCATTGGGATAATGTTTTTCCTTGCAAATGTGTGTGGCTGTGCTCTTTATATTTTGGGTTTGGTTGAAGCCATCATGTCTACCTTTGGAGTGCCAGAAGGTGAGGGCCATTCAAATGTGGTGGAGTATCTGGGCTTGTCAGTATATTGACAGCTCACCTCAGTCTTACTGTCCCCCAGAGAGCACCAGAGCTGTTGCAGGCGTCCATCAGGCATTGCCATCAGGATATTGGTGGTGTCTGCTCTACAGCACTGTCCTGCTCTTCCTGTGTTTCATTGTATGTTTGGTAAGGCATCATTTGTTTCCATATTGAATAAGAATAAGCTGCATAAAGGAAGACTTCACTTATTTAGTTAAATGCTCTGATAACTCCTGTTTTTGTAAATTATGAAGCACTGGGGCCTGGTTTTATATTATTACAAGCTGATCTTAAAAACATTATCCATCCACCTTTTTAGTATTTTATTTGTTATCTCCCTTGTCAACCATGTCTTGGATTTTCTGTCATCTTGGTTGAAATTTAGTTTAGGATTGAATTTAGTCTTGAGGGGCATGATTGGTAGTTTCCATCTCCTGGGATCAACAAAGGATGTTAGGTGACTTGTAATATATGGAATCAAATTTTTTCTTCATTTTTTATTTATTTGCAGGTGGGAGCCCACATTTATGCCAAAACCACCTTTATTATTTTCATCATAGTCACAACAGTTCTGACCTCCATTTTCATCAGTTTTTTCATTGTAAGGCCGACTGTGGTGATTTTATCAAACACTTCTCCAACGCTGAATACGAGCTTGAGCACAGCCAACTATACTGGCTTCTGGCTCCCCACATTAAAAGGAAACCTACTCTGTAAGTGTTGGACATTTTACTGCTTTTGATCTCCTAAAGGAGAGCTGATTTCTTTTTCTCTTACCCATTAATTATTTTAGTCTAGTGTGAACATACCCATTTAAATGACCAAGCATCTTGTTTCATCCTCTAGCTAATTACACAGTCGACTACACCACCGGAGGCATGATGAGCTTCGCCAGAGTGTTCGCCATCATGTTCAACGGTTGCACCGGAATCATGGCGGGCTCCAACATGTCGGGTATAACTTTCTTTTAGTGCACTGACCAGCTCTGGACTCAGTCGGTGGCTGAATATTTAGTTCAGAAGGATTTCATATGAACTTGGATTAGGGGTTAAGTGTGTTGTTTTGAGGCTGTTTCCAGCCCCAGAGTAGTTTTATATCAATTTCAAATTGACTGACTGAAGACTTATTTAACTTTCATTTTAGAAGAAGGTGGGTGTTCAACTTCCAGGTCCTTATCAAATGCTGGCATTTAAATGGACTTATTCAACCATGTTATGTTGACTCATTGGCATCTTTTTCAATTTGAATCTGTTGGCTATAATTGCTCATTTAGATCTTAAAACAGCTTAAGGGGCGTCTGGTTGATATAGTTTTGGAGTTGAGTAGAATGACGAGTTGTGGAGAATTGTTTTTATCCACCATTTTACAGTGAAACAACTGACGCAAACTTATTGGTTTATTTATCTATCAATGTTTGAGTTGCTGCTGTCCCCAGTCATTGACAGATAAAGCTACGTGAATCCACCCACAGTTGAGATGCAGAGCATACTTCAGTGAAATATGACAATTTTTTACCTTTGATTAAAAATGCCAGTGTGTTTGTTTTAGTAAAAGGGAACGTTTACCTCTTTGTAATCCAGGTGACCTAAAAAACCCAGGTTACTCCATCCCAAGAGGAACGCTTGCAGCTGTTTTTACAACTTTCATCACATACAATCTGCTGAGTCTGCTGGCTGCATGGTCCTGTGACCGGTGAGATCACACACAAGCATAGTGTAAAACGCACTGCCCATGGAGATGAGCTTTAAAAAACTATTTTACTGATGCTGTTTAAAGTAGTGCCGCTAAAATGTGATGACTTGATCTACTTTTGAGCACAGTAGAAAAAAATGATCAATTTATACGCAACTTTTTCATTTTTGTAGCACTGCTTTTATGGTTTGTATCCTGTAGTTAACTTGATGACATTTTTTACTAATATGATATTTTTGATGATGGATCACACCTAGCTCCCTTCTTCAAGGAGAGTACAGTTTCCTAGGAGACATCAATGTATGGCCTCCGATGGTTACAGTTGGTGTCTACTCCTCTGCCATGTCTGCTGCAATGAGTAACCTTATAGGCGCGTCCAGGATCCTCTATGCCCTGTCTAAGGATAAGTTGTTTGGTGAGATTCTTGAAAATGACCTGCTTCTTCAATTTAGATTCTTAGCAAATTGTTTCCCAAAGTGCTTCATTTTGTTTACGAACAGTAGGATTTTAATGACCCCGATGTGTTACTGTAGAAAATATTATTTGGTTTATCATTTTAGGGCCTAATTCACAATTAATAGTCATATCCAACTAAGCTGGTCACCTATAAAGCTGTGTCAACATTTAAATGATCGGCCATCTGTAGGAATTGGCCTCTTTTCCCAGTGTGAGAAATTGACACTTGATTTTCATCATGTCTCGTTTCTTTGAGGAGACATGGCAATCTGGAAGCCATCATTTGACAACAGATGGCTTATGGTGTTGACGTTCTCAGAAGAAGAAATCCTTTCATTGTGTGTTTGGCCTACAAGTGTAGGATGACTCGGTTGTTTATCTGTTCCGATTTTTGAGATTATAACCAATAACATAACTTTTTTTTTTTTTTCTCCTTTCTAAATGTCCTAAATTTATGCAGGTGGTGTCCTAGTTTTGGCAAGGAAAACGTCTCGTAGTGGAAACCCCTGGGTGTCTGTGCTTATCTCCTGGTTACTTGTGCAGGTAGTATGCTAAATGGTATAAGTACTACATATGCTAACACAGGTACCAGTTCAATGTAAAGGAGTTTAAAAAAAGGTGTGCTTGAATTTGATGCTTACACTCAGCTTTTTCTCTTTATTTTACTTTCACTTAAAAGGCTGCTGGTATGAGAGAAAATAATCAGTTTGAAAATGTTCATTAACAGCTATTAATCCTATCATGTTGTTTTTAAAATAATTTACTAATTTTTCTTTGTCACTATAATGAAAAATCCTAAATCTCTTATGCAGTACAAAAATGTATTCCATGAATATATTTACCCTTTCTATGCCTTTTACTCTCTATAATGAAAAATGTCTCATGACAGATAAGCCATATCAGCGTCAGAGATTCATAAAGCATAAACTAAAAATAGAATTTTCCACGGATGTTTCCAGTTTTTTTTTAACAATAAAGAATATTATTTATACGTCCTGAATATGATCTTGTTTGTTACAGATGTAACTGTTCATAATACAAACAACTACCTTAAGAAATATAAGTAGTTAGAAAGCAGAATTGCCACATGACCCCATTAATTTGATAAGAATCTTCTAAAACCGGTGTTGAAACTGTGATGAGGTAGATAAGGCTGAAAAGGGAGAAACTGCGTTGCTATTGGTATGCTGTGTTGCCATTGCTAGCTTGTATTTAGTTGTGTAGGTGTTTGGTAAGGATAGAGCTGATTCGGTGGAAGATAAATCAATAGGATTTCTAAAAAAAAAAAAAAGGGGGGGGGGGGGGACTGGGGTATAACAAATTCGTCAACCTTGTTAAAAGCTGAAAAACCCTTTGTCCTTGTCGAGCCTCATCTTGGTCTCTGCTGAAACCATTTAGGCATACACTTTTTTTTCAAATTCATAGTCTGCAATCATTAACAAGTTGTGGTCAGACTTGACTGGCAGTAAGCATTATTCTGTCATGGACATGTGCAGTAGAGCTTTAAGTTGTTAACTAATGATAATTATTACTGTTATGTGGGACCTCTGAATTTGCAGGGGTTCCTCAATTTAACAAAAAAAAAAGATTAGTCTCCAAGCTTCACCAAGTCACTAAATTATTAACTAAAAATGAGCTAAATATCAGATTTATACAAGCCACCCCCGTCCATCCAGATCTAGCTGTCCCTGTGTCCTCTCCAGACAAGTTAATGTTCTGTATTCCTTCCACTAGGTGGTGCTGTTTGCTGGTAAATTGAACACCATTGCTGGAATTGTCACCATCTTCTTCTTGCTAGTCTATGCTGCTGTGAATCTGGCTTGTTTAGCTCTTGAATGGGCATCTGCACCAAACTTCAGGTACAGTGCAGGATACAGCAGGGAGTTTTCTGTAGATATAAACATGGCTGTGCTTAACTCCTTATTTTTGCTTATTGTTGTGTCTTTTTATTTGCTTTGATTCAGACCCTCATTCCGTTGTTTTACATGGCATACCTGTACTCTGGGAATCGTTGGCTGCCTGGTCATGATGTTCCTGATTAGTGCCATTCATGCCTTTGCCAGCATAGCATTTATGCTTCTCTTGTTGATGCTTATACACTATCTGGGGCCTATCAGCAATTGGGGTTACATCAGCCAAGCTCTCATCTTTCATCAGGTATACAACCAGTGTTTTTACATGCATAAATTACCAGCAATGTACATGAGTTTCCTTTATCAATGTGTCTTTCTCTTGCTCAGGTGCGCAAGTACCTGTTGATGTTGGATGTGCGTAAGGATCATGTGAAGTTTTGGAGGCCACAGGTGCTACTGATGGTTGCAAACCCCCGCGGCTGCACAGGTCTCATGCTATTCATCAATGACCTGAAGAAGGGTGGCCTTTATGTGCTAGGACATGTAAAGCTGGGATTGCTGGGTAAGAAGTAGCTTTTGTTTTTCCAGAGAGCCAATGCAGGCTTCAGAATTTACATTTATGCTGCACCCGAGGACCTATATGATCAAACTGTGTTTGGTTGTTTTCACACGTTTACATCTTTATTTCTTTCATGGCATCAAAATACTATGGTATCTTGACAATTAATCAACGTTAAATTCATAATACTGTGGAAATCTTAGTTTACTGAATTCAGTGGGGATCACCTTATTCAGCTTTGCGTTTAAGTCATGCAGATCTTGACAAAGACTTTAATGCTAGTGGCATGAATCTGGCAGGCCACAAATGACTTGGACACAACAGTTGATCGCTTATAATAGGATCAGAAAAGGTTTTATTACTGTTTTAGATCCCTCATTAGTTTTTATTCCGTTTTCTATGGGAACACATACATAAATCACACAAACTTTTTCATCTAAATGCAGACTATATGAGGGAGGGGTTGCAAAACATTTGGAATACCAACCCCCCCATTTGATCATTTTCATAGAACTTTCCATAACCTTTTTTTTTTATTTTTTTAAAAACATTTTCAAAACTGACTTCAAACTCTGTGTTTGACCATATAGATGGAATGCCCTCTGATCCATTGCAGAGCGGTTATGACTCCTGGCTGTCTTTGGTGGATCACCTAAAGATCAAGGCATTTGTCAATCTCAGTCTGGCCGAGTCTGTGCGACGTGGAGTTCAAAACCTGCTTTTCATCTCAGGGTTTGGTTGGTGATATTGTGCTTTCCCCCCCCCTTCCCTTTTTTTTTAGTTTTTTACATTTGTGTTTATCAGTCTATTTTTAAATTGTTTTTTTGTTTTTTTACCAAAAGAAAGTTGTTTTCTGTTCTTACCAGGAGGAATGAGGCCAAACACGCTTGTCTTAGGTTTCTATGATGACTGCACCCCTAGAGACGACCTCCGTGGTCAAACTGTGGAGTCAACATTGCATAGTTTGGATATGGTTTCTCCAAACACAGACCCTGGACAGCAGTGCTTCCCATTCTTTCCTAATGTACGGGGCACAGAGGAGCCCAAAGACCTTCCAGAAGAGGAATACGTATCTGTGATTGCTGATGCTGTGAAAATGGGAAAGAATGTGGTATTGGCTCGATATTTCAACCAGTTCGATCGAGACCAGGTGTTGGGTTTAGGAAAGAAGATTGGAGGCTGTCGAGGTGTCACTGGGCCGTTTGTAGATGTGTGGCCTCTGAATTTGCTCCAGCCCGACAGCCACGGATATGTCAACATCTGTTCACTGTTCCTGCTGCAGCTGGCCTGTGTTCTTTGTGAGACGCGCGCCTGGAACCAGGCGAGGCTTCGGCTCTTCCTGTGCGTCGAGGCTGGTTGCAGTCTGCAGGAAGAGGAGGAGATGAAGCTCCGCAGAATGCTAAAGGAACTGAGGATGTCAGCCCAAGTGCAGATGGTGGTCTGGGACAAGGTGGTGGCCCGACACTGGCAGAGACGAGGAAGGGTGAGGGGGAATCTGGCAGAAGGCTCGCAGAGACTAAATCACGAGGAGGGAGTTGATCACTTGTTTCCCAATAATGCTTCTCAGCTGACGGATGACTACATCTGTGCTGTCAACAACCTCATTTGCAGACATGGCTGTCCTGAACCAGCTGTACGTTTCTTGTATTTGCAACACCCCCCAGCAGATGTAAGTCGTTACCGTAACTACCTGCATCAGTTGGACCTTTTAAGTAGGGGTCTTGGCCCGACGCTACTTGTTCATGGAATCACTCCAGTGGTCACTATTGACCTGTAGAATTTTAGTCTAGCCATAAACTGTTTTGTGTCATTTGAAAAACACTTTGGGAAGTTGACGTTTTTTAGGCACGAATTAGAAATTAAGCTTTGTTATTTTTGATGGTTTGTAGTCCGACAGGGAAGAGCCTCTTTGTCACTGCTGCTTGGTCAGATCATTTTGTGTAGTTAATATCAGACCAGTGTTGTTCTTGGTCTCTTTTATGGTTTTAGGATAATGTTGCCACAGAAGGTTAAAGCGCATTTAGACTTTGTGTATGTTTATAGAAATTCATAAAATGTTGTTCCAAAAGCCTGTTCCTTGTAAAAATGAAAATGCTGATAAATCCTGATTTGGTGCATGTAAAATAATCTGCATCTATAGCACAGACTCATAGCAGGCATACTTGTTTTTTTTTTTTTTTTATTCTAAAAATGGTCAGTATTCTTAGAGCATTGTGTGTGTATATATGTGTATGTAGAGACAAGGTGATATTTATTCTTTCATACGCGCTCATATCCTGAATGTAACAATTTTAATATGTCAATTTGATAAATAAAGGAGTCAATCTTATGTGGCATTGTGGATTCAGAACAGGTGAAGGAAGTGAATGCTTGGCACAATCTATTATTGGGAAATGTGTCGTGGGTAATTGCGCACTGATGAAGAGCAAAGCACCATCTGTGACAATAATTTGCGTTGAGAAAATTCCATTATTTATTTTTTCTTCTTCAGAGACCTAACACCCGCCTACACGTTGCTGAAAACAAGCATGTGGGACGGAGTGTGTTCCCAGATAGAGAGCAATGTTGTATTTAGGATGTTGGTGAACTACATATTTTTATACCCATGTCTTAAGATGACCTTACTTTTGAACTCGGACGCTTAAGTATCAGAGGCTGTTGAGTTTGTAATGAAAATGATCTGAACTGGAAATGTGAAGAAGAAAAAAATGGCTCACTCCCTTCAGACTTGCTAGAGCATGGAGTAGTGACTAGGATAAGATCAGATTTTGTATACAAGAACCTTTTTTTTATTTTTAGCATTACTCAACATGTAACATCTAGTAAAGCTTCTTAATCTATGTATTAATCAGACTTTCCCGTACAAATTAAAAGATCTGGAGTTGACTGAGTCTTTAAGGTAAAAAAAAAAAAAGCTAAAAGGTTAGCTGATTACCTGAGTGGCCAGAATGCTAAGTTTTTTTTCTCAGCTGATATTCTTATCTTCCTTTCCTCATTAAGAAAGTGGTAATTTGAAATGAAGATGCTTGGATGCAAAGGCAGTGGCTTTGCTCCAACTAGAAGGTTCTTTTGGCCTTGAGTCTTTGGGCTGTCCATTCCAGTCTAGAAAACTTTCAAAAAGTCAGAACGTATGTCTATTTTTACCTTGGTGAGAGGAAGTTATATGGCACCCACACACTTATAAACCCTTGTTTATAAAATGTGTATGCTGACTTTTATGAAAGAAATGCAATATTTGCAATATTTGTTGCAACACAGATTTAATACACAATATGCATATATCCAGGAAACTTCCGTCTGTGGCTTATTTCATATTTGCACCAAAATTCCACTTTTTTTATTTTTTATAACACATCACCCACCCACACCCCACTAACAAACTGCATGTAGGAGGAAGCGTGCTCACAGCCGGAAGCAAGCAAACTCTGAACAGTGCAAAAGGATGCAATTTTCCGTCATAAAAGGGTCAAGTGTATTTCAATTCGATTATTTTGTCTTGTTTGTATGGTCACATCAGGGACACAGGAATCCATACACAGATATCTATTCTCTAAAGATGTGACACCACACCACTAGGCAGTGTGCTTGAGCCATATTTAACATTTATTATTCTTTGCTCAAAATTTCCACAATTGTCTCTCAAAAGAACCTGGAATGGGAAATTCCTGAATTAGTCCAATATGGTTTAATATTCTTGTTCCAGTTTTTTTTACCATAATCATAGTGATGTCAACAATTAATCACCCCCTTTAAAATGAAAAACAGGAAGAGTGGGGGAAAGCTGCCCCTCTCATCTCGCAGTTACTAAATGTAACCTTATGTGAAATTATCCACCGACAACTGCCTCCATTCCCTGGATGTGAGCCAGTGACGTAGTTCATATTGTGGAAATAACACTGCTCAAAGTCTGAGTGGGAGGAAGACTTCAGTATGCTTTGTTGTGTGGGATGGTACACATTTTCCTCTAACTGTGAATAAAGCCCCTCACTGTATCGAGTTATATGTGGATTGATGACACACACTGATCATCTCAACACATGGTATCTCACAATAATTACATAATTTAGATTAGGGTAGCAGTTTGGTCTTGTTTTGCAAATTTTAAAGCAGAACACATAAAGACTTATCAGATTTTAAAGGGAGTTGGCACAAAGTTGAAGAGGTGAGGATGTGTGTACCTTTATGCCAATATAAAGTATTTCCACATCGCTGTCTCCTGAAGCAAGAAAAACTGAAAAATATACACTGTGCACAGTTTGTAATCAGAAATATGGTCATTTTTCAAAGTTTGAAAAGTTTCATTGTTAACCTGTTACTACTTTCCGTACGTCTTTGGAATCTTTCTGCTTCTGAGAGCACTCAGTGCTCCACACTGTGAGGTCCTAAATAACTCACAGTTTGTCCCCTTCACCGGTCCTCTCGTCAGCAGAGAGACTGATGATCATACTGTATATGGCTGCAGTCTCACTCCACCCCCTCATGCCAGGGATCCCCTGTCTGTGAAGGCCTTGAAACAGCATGGAGCGCTGAGATCATTTGCGTCACTCTCGCACTTTTACTTTTTGGGCAACCAAACGAGGACAGAGCTTACGTTGCATCAGGAGGTCTCATCGTCTCTGTCAGCCATCATTGACTCACAGAGATATTATCAACCGTTTTTAATGTTGATCTGCGTCACTGAGTGCGTGGGAATGGATCAGCTGCAGGGTTGAGGCTTCTTCTCTTTGACAATGAGAAATTTTCTTACTGATTGATTTTGTATTAAGTCAGTGAATCTTTTCCATGCCAAAACACCATATCCCATCTTTCAGTTCAAACCCTTAAGACAGGGTGTCCGAAGGAGAGTTTTCCAGCAGATAAAATCAAACCTATATTTTACAGGTACATTTCAACATTTCTCGTGAAGTGAAAATTCACAGATTTAGAAAAAAAAGCACCTGCCCTGTTTAACTTGCTCTGTGGTTGCTCTCCAGTGATTGACAACATGTTCTCAATAACAAATCTGGGCAAATTAAACAAGATTTTAATGGTGTGAGAATCATGAGGCGTTTCACATTGACATTCAGTTGATACAAAGCGTTGCTGCCATATGCAGATGGAGATCAACTGTCACTCTGAATGTGTGAACAGAGCTCATATGGGATGTATTATTGGTCAGTTTTAGCTTGGCCCAGAACTTGCCTGATCCATGATCTTGCACATGTATGTGGTGTTCAGGTGAGCAATGAAGTTACAACATTAAATAACCAAGAAGTGAGCCAGGGACTAACTCCGCCTAATGCATGCTGAAACTATTTGTGAGGCTTGTTTGTTCTTTAAGGCTGTAAATAACAATGATTTTATTGTTAAAAAAAAGAAAATGAAAAGTAGATGATGTGTAAAACTGAGTATGTTATGTATAAAATGGAATGAGATCAAATCATTTTTAAGTGAGCATGCTGAATATTTCCTCACCACAAAAGTTTTTAAGGTCACAGTACAAAAGTATGGAATTGGTTACCTGGAGTAACCAACAACAGTTGGGAGAAAATATTTCCTTCGATTGCTACTAAATGGCTATTTCTATGATTGACAAAATATTACAGAGAACCAGATAGTGGCTCATAGTTTTAACCAAAATCCCAGATTTGACGCCAGCCGCCCATACGCTCTTCACTGCCTGGGGTGATGGGCTGGTGTGCAATCGTGTGGGGTTTCCAGCAGCTGCCACAGTTTCCTCTCATAGTCCGGAAATCAAAACCTTATACAGGAGACTTCGTGTAGGAGTACTGAGGCTGCCAAAACCCTATGACAAGACCAGGAACTTCTTCCGGCTGAACTGTGATAGGATGCAGCTTCTCAGGATGAGCTAGTTTTAATTATAAAAAAATGAATGAATTGAAATTGATAGATGATTGACATTTATGAGGTAATACGATGACATATGGAGCCCTACTGATTATCAGCGCAGAAACACGGTGTCACATACGTCATCTGATTTTTTATCTTTTTATTGGCAGACGCTCCTCCCGTCTTTAATTTGCTTTTCTGTGAACAATCATGATTACGATAACAAATATTGACAATATATAGTGTAATAGATATATATATAGTGTAATTTGGCCTTGTGAAAACCTTAGGACTTGAGTGAAATACACATCAAACTTAGCATTTCAAATGTTCTAATGAGCAGAATATGGAGTACAAATATCACAATAAACACATTCAAAACATATACATAATTCATCCTTAAGAAATACATTTTGAAGGACTACATCCATTGTATTGTTTGGAAAACTATAATTAATTCACAAAACAAAAAAGAACTGATCAGAGTAATTCAAGATATAATAAAGTCAACCAGTAAATCCAACATAGACGGGAGATTTAACACAAATCTGCTAGTAATTTTCTGAACTTCTCTACAACATTTCTCAAGGGAAAGAGGAACCTCCAACAACTCATTTTAAATCTCTGCAAATATTCTCCATGACTGAAAAAATGGATCACTTAAGTAAATTGCCTATCCCTTTCTTAATAAATTAATTTCAATATTTCTTTTCATCATCAAGTTTATATATCGTGTGTATGTCCGTTTGTTTACATGTTTTTCTGCTTTCCCATTGACATCTTCCTCATCATCACAATTTCTTATCAGGGTTCATTTTATTATTGTTATTATTACAAATCATATCACCTCAGTTACACCCCCATTCTTTAAATATGTATAATGGAATATACCTCCATCCAGTGTGTTACCACCCTTGTGGCCCATTGAGTGTCAAGTCCCACTTCTAAGATCGGACGTTTTTGATTGAAACAATGATCTTATATCATTCAGCATTACCTCCCTGTCATCACTGAGGTAGCCTAAGATGATAATGATGGCGGAAATTATGACAAAGATTGTCATTAGCAATCTATATTATAACAAATATATGGAGTCTTACATCACTTGTTTGTTTTTGTTATTGTTCTGTGACTCCTGGCTGGTTAGTTTGTGAATGAAAAAGAAATCAATCCTGCCACAAGAGGGACTCTTTGAGTGACTCTGTGGGGGAGTTCACCACTGCTTTGACTGGGCTGTATGAGTTTTTGGGTGCAGTTTATCATTACATCATTGAGATTGTTTTGTTTAGTTACTCTTTACTATTGGGAAGCATATGATGGACTCACACACACAATGGCTCAGAACCTGAGCTGGTCCCTCTGGGGTCACATAATGGGCTATTGACCCTGGGACGACCTCCCTGCAAAGTCCGATTTAAAACAAAACCTATCAAATACATTTTCTTTTTCTTTTTTTCCTAAAGAAGACTTTCCAATTTAATTACTAATATTATCAGTATTTGTACAGAACCGAACTAATAGATTGGGCGTTGAGGTAACACTACACTATTGAGCACTATTTAAGGATTTATTTGTAGTAATAAATTAGAAAAGATAATAATATCGAAGTTACTTACGGTTATATTACTTCAGACGGAACTTTTAGGCTAATGCGCACTAAATAGTTCACCCACATTGCCTTACACACACTTGTATAACCGTTTAGATAACAGTCGCTTTCTCTGAGCCGCGTTGAACCAACCATGGCCACCGCTGCGTTCACCGGCAGCTGCGTCGTAGTGATTTGCTCTCGCTTCCTCAGTAGCCGTGGAAAAACACGTGAAAGCGTTGACACCCTTACATAAAATGACCAACAGCCGGGCGGGCCAATCGCAATGCGGAGCGGCAGTTGTTAAACCCGCCTTTTCACACCTCCCTCGCACTGATTGGTGAACCCTTCGATGATGCGCGGACTGACGGCCGCGTAAACCAATAGAAATGAAGCTAAGGGAGGAGCTTGCGGTGGGGCTCGAAATGAGGTCACTGCACGCGCTGGAGATCCGGGGCAGTGTGCGTAGACTGCTGAAGGGAGGAAGCAGCGAGTCCAGAGCAGAGCAGGACCCACGGCACACCTCCTGTCATCCCCAACAGAGAACTGTCACAACCAGCCTCTACAACCAGGATTTTTCTTTTTAACGGAGACACCTGCATCAACAGAGGATCTCCTCATTTTTCAGGTTAGTGGAGTTTTACTTGCGTACGCCAGCTTTGGCGATGCTGTTTATTTCAAACGTTTAGGATTCAGCTAAAGCAGCTGCACTCTGAGAGCAAACCCGAATAAGATGATGAACAATACCGAAGGGGGAAAGTTTCATAAGTGTGTCACTGTGAGGCTGCGGGGAATCCTCGTTTCGCCTGATGTGCGCAGAAATACCGGCGGTGACGCGCCCCCGGCGCAACTTTTACATAAGGAATGAATGAATGGCAAAAATAAATAAATAAATAAATAGAAAATACGGATGCATCAACCTATGGGAAAACTGCAGAGTGTCTGGAATAATGATATCAGAGGCAGATAGGGAGCGTGGCAGACGTGCCCTGCTCTGCCTCGATCACATAAGTGGCAACGCAACGTTATATCGGAGAGTTGCCACTATGTAACGCCTTACATAAAGTCCACTGCTGAAACACATGGCTGAACTCCAGTGTGATTAGAGAATTTGATATGAATAGTCTTCCAAAAAAGGTGCTGAGTCCTGCAGTTTATTTCAACATGATTAGGTCATCCTTATGAATGAAAGACCTTTCTATTGCGAGCGGACTCATTGATTTTGCCGTCGAATGGGGGTGGGGGGGGGCGGTGAAATTATGGAGATACAATTTGTAAATTAAGATTTTGTGTGTCACCAATGTTCAACTGAAGGTTGGCTTTGACAGTATTGTTAAGCATGAAAAGTCTGAGACTATATTAGAAATGTTAGAATTAGTTATAACATTTACTCACATCCAAGTTTCAACTTTGGATCGTAGAAACTATTAAGGGATCCTGTTTGAAGCAGATTGATGTGGCCAAATCCAGCTGCCCCTTTTGTGACTTGAGAGGGAGGAGAAACAAAGGCTGACGCATGAGGGCACAATTCATTCAGATCTGTTTATCTAAATGCTGCAATCAGCGGAAGCGTTGCCATCTCTACAAAAAATTCCCTGCCCACAGTCGAAACGCAAGAGGATAAAAGGTGCATTAAAATAGCTTTTTCACACCATTGCCTGGCAACATTTATTCAAGGGTGAGACATATGCTCTCAGGCGACACTCAGCTTCCTTCCTCCGTCCTGCAACTGAAACATTTGAAAACTTAAAAGATGTCCCAACAGGACAGGAAGTCTGAGAAAACAAACAGGCTCTTAAATGCACCTAGTCCACGGCTTTGGACACTTTTTTAAATAGAGTTGCGGTGGAGCAGCAGCTACTCCAGAAGTGGTTGTAGATGACGTGTTAGATAATATGACCAGAGCGCACTCGTGTGCATATTTTTACGTCAGAGGAAAGAGAATGGAGAGAGAGAGAGAGAGGGGGGGGGGGGGGATACTGATGATGAACCGGGAGTGATGTTAAATATAGGTCTGTTTGCTTAGTTTTATGGAAAATCAAATAACCTTAACACTCACTTCAGAATGGCAACATAGATAAGAATGAAACTCATCAAATGAGTCAAAATTACTTATGTAACTCAAACTTCTTTATCTGGTCATATAAAGTCTTAGGATGTCATGGTGTGAAATGCATGAAATGTTTTACATCAGTTTTTCACAGTTTCAAAGCTAATTTATTGTGGATTTATCATCAAGAATCATGAACCATATTGTATTGTATGTATTGATATCAAATTTTAAAAAACAATTTTGGCAACATTAAGAAAAGATATATATAATTTTGGGTTCTAATCAGATCTTTTCTGCTCAATTAGTTTTATCTTTTTGGACTACTTCATGTCAATTTAGTTCATTTTCATCTTCCTATTTGCATTATATTCTCCTTTGTTTTAGATGTTTTGATGTGATACAAGAATAACCAGGATCTGAAATTCTCAGATTTATAACCTGTGCTATTTACAGAGGAACACATTTTTTGCCCATTTTTGGCTTCCTATCAAATTTCCAACAATAGATTTAATTCCTGCACCTTTTTTCACAAAGATCATCATGTGATGATACAAATCCTGCTCAGTTAACTGGAGTGTTGTAAGATTTGACCAAAACCAGTCGTCTTTCCCCTATTCCCCCTAACAATCCTAAAAGATTCTGTAAGACCACGTGAGCAGCATGTTCCCAACTTTGCAAATCTTTGATTGGATAAAAAATGACCCCAACGAGCAGTAAAACCGTAGACTGTCTAAGTTTCTCATCTTTGCCTGTTGGTAAGCTGCTCCTCATGGACCGTTACAGAAGATGTGTCTTGCTGCTTTCTAAACTGCCAAGACATTGTGCACTTTGACCAGAAACCTCTGCAGCCGGCAACCGTGTCATTATGCAAAGCCAGTGAGAGTTCATGACTGACAAGTGACTCTGCGGAAGCAGAGAGGAGCATGCAGCAAGGGTCTTTTGAATGAAATGCTGAGTGTTGTCCTTGTAGGGATGCAGAAAATCCAGCTTACTTTCTGTTCTACATAATTTTTGCCCAAGTTGCAGCTGGATGGAGAAGATTTTATAATTGACTGGAAATGAATGAAAGTGAAATGGTGAATCGACGTCAGTAGCCTTTGCTTCAGAGTTTGGTCAAACATTTACAAGATTTGATCAGACAGGGTTGAAAAGGTCGATCGCAAACAATAAAAGCTCCAGCGGCACTGATGTTAATGACGTTTGCTCTAATTAACTGTCTCATAAGTAAGGGGAAATCCATATCAGTGCTTCTCTTCGACAAAATCATTTGCTTCTATCTGCCCAACAAACCGTTTCATAAACCTTTCATTGTACCTAGAGTAAATATTTAATTGTCCGCTCGTATCATGTGTCACGTTATGCTGTGCTGAACAAGCTAGAGCTCTGCTGTGCAACTCTGCTGGGACTGAGCCAGCAGATGTGGCCTGATTGTGAGCAAATGAGGTGAAAGACTGGCAGGAAGTCCGCGGCTGATTGAAATTCTTGGACTTTGAGTATCAGATTCACTGCCAAGTCATTCTTCAACTTTGAACCAGACTCTGAGTTAAATTTGCAGCCTGCGAATAAAGCCTCCCTGTCTAAGCTTCTCCAGACAGAATGCTCAGTGTGCAGAGTTTTCTGAGTTATGTCCCACAGTCAGATGGCCCACCGGGCCTAATAACACCGTTTATGTGGAGGGGATTTTTATCGTCATGGAAAAATGTGCTCAACTACAAACATTGAGTCATTGCTAGACTTTTTAATCTAGTTTAGCTTATTAAGCACTTTCCAAACTGCAGGGCCTCGGTCTCTCACTCGCCTCTTTTTGATCATCTCAGTCACAGGCTGCAGGCTGACCCATTTCACTGAGCAGCACAGAGAGTGAAGAAAAAAAGAAACAGCTCAGTGATACGGCAGTCGGTGTGCACTCACTGCCAAGATAAACTGTAGTGTAAGTTTTTTTTTTTTTTTAAATGACCTTGTTGCTGTCATTTTACCACCATTTTTCCCCACGGGGGAATGCAACTGATGAAACTCTGAACTCACGTAGTGTAGACAAATCTCAGGACGTTTCCCCAGCGCAGAGTGAATGTCAGTGAAATCACCAAACATGAATTCTGAAAAAAATTATTCACAGATTCCAAAAGGAACAGAGCAAACCAAAAATTTGGACAAAAAAATTGTTCTGCTTCATTCGTTCTGTCGTTAAAAAACCACAACATGCACACTTACCGCATTCACAAATTCCCAATTAGCTGTCAACACGTCTTTTGAGTGTCTACAATAACAAACGAAAAAAACGTGAGTGACGCACGAGATGAAAGTGCTGATGCATGTATGGGCTTGGTCCTGAAAATGCAGTCTGTGAAAATATAAAACACACATCCCAGGGGAACTCAGGGAAATAAAGGAGGTCATGCATCCGTTTTCCATGACACGGACGAGCAGAAGCCATGTCTGTACCTTCTCGGTTTGGCCTTGGAAAACAGCCAGTCGAATGCAGGCAAACACTTCACGGCGGTGACCTCAACATGTTGCCCAGAGACATGACTAAGAGGCCGATGATTTATTTGACTGCGCTCTACATTTAACATGTGACTTTCACGAACATCCAGCCAAGTGTTTGAATCAACGTCCTACAATTCAAATCGGCAGTAAGCACAGAAGTTCTGTGCACAAAGACAGTCAGAGGAATCAGGGCTATATTGCATCACCTTGGTATAATTTATGTAATACTGTATCATTATGGACTAAAGCAGTGCTTAAGTTCTTTTCATCCCACCTTGGATTTGTAAATGTAGAACATGTTGCACCCAGGGTGGTCGAGGCCAGTCAGATTATAACCTTCAAGTTTTCATGGATAATTCAAATCCACCTCTTCATTGTTACCGCGTTCTTTGGAAACAATCTTAAATTGCCTTCTGGTTTTATCTGTGTTTAACAGAAACACATAGCTGTCGATGCTCTCACAAATATGGGATATTCCTCACTTTATGTTCGAGCAAATGCATTCCCTTATTCTCTATGTGTAAATCTGGCATCCATCTTATCATATCTGAGAGGGCACTGCTTTACGCTGCACATGACTGCTAAAGGCTGCAGATAAGAGGGGAAAGTTGCATGCTGACTGCAGGTGACATGGTGGCATTCAGATAAATCTTGGCTACTGCTCTGTGTTCCAAGGTGAAAAGTCCTTTGAAATGGTTAAAGGGCTCAGAAAGGACAGACCCGCTGTTCTTAAAGGCCACAGTGGCTGAACCTGAGGGGCTTTTATTGGTAGATCAGAGAGGCATCCACAGGGCTCCGCAGAGGTCAGGGGTTAAACCCTGCAAAGGGGTCTGATGTTACGGCAGACAAAAGGCATAAGACGCTCTTGTGAAGAAGGATTGAAGCATTGATTGATTCTTGGAACATTTTGTGCATGACAGCCAGGAATAGTTGCATTGACTGTACTTTAATTACAATGAATATGTCTAATGTTAGAGCAAGTTATTTTCCCTGAAACTGAATAATAAAACACATATATTTGTTGATATCACTGGATTCTAGCATTTGCACAGTATTGGTCAAAAGTGTGGACACACTTTCAGTAACACTTAGAGAAAGTGGATGTGCTCAAGCTTTTGACTTAGGGTACATCAACTGCTGACTTTTAAAAAACATATATTGATATATCTGAATTTTGAGAGCGTTATTTGATTCCTAAAAAAATCTTTTTCCATCCACAGATCAGTCCATTCCCCTCTTTCGTTCCGTCAGCCGTCGCCCTTCTGAAAATGGGGTGATTGCCTTCTTTCTTCATTCTGTTAACTAACCTGGAACCAGCCCAGGGTGCAACTCCTCCTGATGTCTCAGGATTCAGACTCCAAGCTCTACTGCTTCCCGGCGCAGGAGGACCAAGATGGCGCCTCGGGTTGCAGGCCATCCACCTCAAGCAGCTCCGTCCCTCGGGGGGCCACGGGGTGCAGCTCCATGTCGCAGCTGCACCGGATGGGAGGCTACGGCCAAGGTGCTCCTGACCTGCTCTCGGAGGGCAGTGACAGCAGCGGTCAGGACCCCCCCGCCTCGCCACACAAGACCCGTAAGAACGCCCGCTCTCTGCTGCTCCCGGAGGAGGACGTGGAGATGAAGAGCAGCGGGTCCAGCGGGAGCGGGACCGAATCGCATGGCAACGAGAGCCACGGCCACGAGAGCCACGGCAACGAGAGCCACGGCCACGAGTCAGTGGGCAGCTCCAACGGCAACAGCAAAGACTCGGCCCTGCTGGAGTCTTCTGGGAGCAACAAAAGGTACGTGAGCGGGGAAAAATCCGGGAAAAAATGTTAAAATAGAAAGTCCCTACGCTAAAAATGCAGAATCCTCTCTGCTCTGACCCTCTCTACAAACAAAAATGTCCACTTTCTGGTGGAGAAAAAAACTCCTGTATTAAACCTTTCTAAGACTATTGCAAGAAGCACTGCAGGGATGCGCATGCAGCAGCATGAGAAACTGAACAGGGGGAAGACCAAAGGTTCATTTGGCAGACAGGAAAGCTGCTTTGTAAGCAAGAATATGACCCTCTGGTCTGATAGCACTCATAAAATTACGTTCGATGATTTGGCCTTGCGGTCATTCAACTCCATTTTCTTTTGGGATACCTACACACTGATAGCAAAAACTGATAAATTCCTGGCAGCAGTCCTGAATATTAATCAGGGCCACAACTGCTAATTGCCATTCTAGCTCCTGTTTTCAGTCGGTGACATAATGATTTTAAAACTGGACTGGTGAAAAGCCTTTCATGGAGCGCTGGTCGTCCTGAAAAGAAGACACTGTGTCATTTATGATGTCTTTCATTTGCCTTCGTCGTTAAGAATGGCACATCCACACAGATGGCCCGAAAAGGACCAATAACATCCGCCCGTGCTATTTTCAGATCCCAATAAATGCTACTAGGAGCACCGGATGCACTTGCCAGCGCTGACTAATGTCTGCAGATGAGTGGGCCAAGGCTTCAGTAATGGCCAATAAGCTCTTGACCCGGACGTGGGATTGAATCATAAATTAACCTACTTGTAGATTTCCTCTGATCGCGAATGTCTCATCCGCAGAGGAGAAATTTGAATAATGGCCTCTAAATGGTACAGCTTTCAAAAGCACTCTCACAGCCAGCTGAGCACCACCTAAGAAGGGCATCAAAGTCCTCAATCCTGCCCATCCTGTTACTCATCTCCTTTCACCTTCTGCCCCGGAGCTAAAGCATGGCTTAATTGAGCTTCATCCCATTCCCAATGCAAGCAGGTTATACATCCCTAAACTAGATCTCACACGTGTGAGTCACTTCTCATCTGTGATTGTTTTTGAAAGCTGGTTGCTTGCGTGTATGAAATCTAGTTTTCTATCTTTACGTAGACAAAAATCTTCTAAACAAAAAATATCAGATTTGGATGTCTGACATAGTTGTGTCATCTGTTGGATCTAGTGTGTGTTCACTCAGAGGCATCTACCATGCAAACCAGAACCAGACAGTCACATGTCCTGAGATGCTCAGCAGCAGATGATTCGTAGATAATGAGTTTTAATGACAAAGTAATATGAAATTTTAAATGACAGATGGGAACTGTATAGAATTAGTTTTAGTCTTTCTTCTGATATACAGACTGTGTTGTGTTTTTTGAAGTTCTTGGTTTAGTTTGTCGGTGAGGAGATTAGATTTGCTCAACTGCTTGTTAATGCTCCTGTCCATCGGCTCTGTTAAGCAGATCCTATAATTAAATGTAAGTTTTTTCATTTGGTCAAATTAACCTTCATTTTTCAAATCTTACTGTCCTGACAGAAACAAACATCACAGGCTTCTCTTTAAAGCTGTTTGTGACAAACGTTCTTATGTTAAAAGCGGTCACACAATCTTGGTTAAATCACCAGCGCAAAATATTTGTAAAACACAAAAATATTCAGATTACATCATGACCAGAAATAGGTTTCAGACACTGAGCAGTTTGCTCAGGAGAGGACCAGAAGAGAGGAAAAAAATAACTGACTGTATGTCCCAGTGGGAAAAGAACTGATGTCATATTTGAGGCTGGGAACTGGCTCTGCATCACCACCATATGAGCCGCTTCATGCTCTCCAACTGCTTGTTATTACTATGGAAACATGGTGTTTATCTCTGGGTGGAGCCAGGCCGGTCGCACGCTCTGACGTCCATCCTCACACTCTGCCCTTCCTCGCTTACCTCACTTAAGCTTTTGAGTCCAGACTTTTCAATGAACCACACCTTACTCTTGTTTGATCACCTTCACAAGCAGCACACACCTACCTCCCACCAACAGTAAAACTTTAATTACTCCACCGTTTCTCTCTTTCTCTCTTCATTTCTGTCTTTGTTCGTCTTGCTTCCAGCCCCTCCCTCCCCCCAGTTAAACTGTTAACCTTTTGTGCCAATTTTCGGGGAGAAACCGTTCCCTCAACATCCAGTTAGTCTTTCTGGATTGCTGTTTGTCACTCTCCTTTGATTGCTGCTTCATCTCCAACTTCTATCTATTCTTCATTTTCTGACTTTTATCTCTTAGCAATGGCTATTCTGGTAGTTTTCGAGAAACGCATGTCAATAAACTATTTGGATAATGTATTTTATACACATTACAGTATATATAGTATTTATCTATTCATATCTATAGAAAAAGTCACATTTCATGAGCCAGCAAGGCCAACTTTCAGATAGTGGAAATAAGCCTATTTTTGTGATGTTTTAAAACAAATTGAAGAAAAGCTAATGGAACACCACTGAGTTCCTTCCCTGACAGTTCTTACCTGATCATGATCACTTCTTACTGCCGGAGGATGCATTTTCAGGGAAAATCCAATGAGTGTGATGGCTATGCTCATTCTTTTCAGAGCCTCACATCAACAGCTCTCTTTAAAGTCGTTGCAGCATTGTGTTAAAACGGCTAACATCCTGAATGAAATTGAATCAGATAATGTCACCCACTGTTACGCTACGAACGTAAATGGAGAGGGCTGTTTGGAATAAACCATTTTTCTCTCCTCTTCGGACAAAGCTGTTAAGTTTATTTCATTCCTCAGGCACCACAATCAGGACCAGTATCATATGTCATTTTGGATGATGCCCAGAATGCTTGTTTATGGTTACACCTGGAGTGCAATTCTTGGGATAATTGCTTTATTTAATGGATGCCAAACTGTGCAAGAATCTAGACTCTTAAAATTTCCACCATGAATTGTCTCTTTGTTGCTTTTCCTGGGCAAGCTTTTGTGGTAAAGAGCCAAGTCAATAAAAAATACTGAGAAATCTGGATCAAAATTGACAAAAGTCTGTATGAGAAATGTGTACATGAGCTTTTTTTCTACATAAAAGCTCAATGCAAACTTAAAGCTAATGCAGTTTATACTATAGGCATTATGTCACGGCTGTTTCTTATACTAAGGTGTCTGAATGGCCTTTATAAGGATTATCATGCTCAGAGTCCAGTATTAAGCGTGTTAAGCCTGTCATTAGCAGTACATAGTGTGTGTGATACATGGGTCAGCATCCACTGAATATTGCTGGGGGCAGTGTGCTGATAAGCCTATAGACTAATGTGATAAGCTGTGGCTAAATTAAATTGCCTATTCCAATGTCTAAATGCAAAAATAAACATTTTTGTTACAGAAAATAGTACATAAAAAGAAAAAACTTGAACTTTCTTAAAATTAAATATTTTAGCTAATTTATTGTCAACAAAGAAAAAGAACGGCAAAGCAATTTTGTACTAGAAATAAATGGTTTTGTAGTTTAATAGTTAAAGTTCTTGAAATTTAGACTAAAATACTTGATCAGGAAATAAATACCACTTTTCTAGAAAAATCAGATGCTAGTTAGAAGAGATGAATGTTAGTTCACTAATCAAATGAAACCAACTGAAATGTGCAGGATAAAAAATGACTAGATGATTTTCAAACAGAACTGGAGGACATGCTTCTCCACTGTGGATTGCAGCTCCTGTCATCATTTCACATTATAATTCATTTAAAATCATGATCATCATGTAGTCTGTCTGTAGTCATTAAACATTGCGCAAAAACACCAGAACAGAAGCCTGCTGTTTGCAAGATTTTTACACAATTGTTGCTGTTGCTTATGATATAATAACACCAACAGTGAAAACAAAATTGCATTAGATAACAGATCAGAACTATAATTAAATACACAGGGGTGCAAAAGATTTGTCAATGGCTGGTTTCTAATTCAGATAGATAGTCCCGATCTCTTTTTATGTTGCATCTTTGCTTTCAGAAGGTAAACTAAAAAAAGAAACTAATTACCTCTTTGAGAACTCTCTTTTTGGAGGTTGTTTGCATGACTCAGATTCATTACTACTGTACCAGTTAGCCTTCTCAGTATTAATAGGTGTTCAGACGGTTTAAATCCAGCTGTGGCATTCTTAGGATTGAAGGCTATTTTTGAGAGATTTAAACTTATGCTTGGAGAGGCTATTTGTAAAGATGTTATCTATTCTTGGCCACTAAGCAGGCTATTCTTAGTATTTCGAGTTGTAGTACAGGTGAGTCAGTTGCACAGACAGCTGTCAATAGTCTTTGGTTAAGCTTGTGGACTGATTCCGCTCAGTGGACTACAACAGTTCAGTGGACTAGTCTGACTTTGTGTTATGCAACACAAGGGTATGAACTTTGTTTAAAGTTGCTAATACAAGATTGTAATGCTTTCCTTAGCAAACGACGACAGAAGCATGTCTGGATTTTTACTACAAGGTCCTAAAAAAGAACGGAACTAGATTTCTTTTCTTAACTAATTGCGATTGCCACACACACACACACACCCACACACACCAGTCAGTCAGAACTTAGGAAACCTTTGGGATAGGATAAATCTGGTAAACCATCAAACCATATAACATATCACAGAATTTACTGAATTGAATATAGTCGTGTAAATGAGAAAATAATTTTAACTAACTGCTCTAAATAGTCTGTTTTCCAGATTTGATAGAAAATTTTCCTTCAGCTATGATTTCATAAAAAAATGTGCTTAGTTTATATTGCTTCTGCATCTCACTCCAAACTCTATAATCTGCCAGTTATCCCTGACTTCCCATTAGGATCAATAACATAAATGCTTTCAACCCTGTTGTTCCTGCTGCCCATCCTAGACATCTCCTTCCAAATGATTTGTTTGGAATCTTATTCCAGGCATTTCTTAGACCGTGGGAAGCTCACTTCGCTTTTCCCAAAAGTACACAACATCCCCTTGCACTGGTAAAGCATCATGACAGATGTGCCAGAAATGTATCTAGACTCAAAATCTAAACCAGTGTGGTTAATTTCTAAAGAAAAATGCTCAGTAGAAAAGATACAAAGAAAGATACAATATTTCTAGAACTGCAAGTAGCCTGTTCTGGATGGCTGAAAGTGCTTATAAAATTGCTTAGTGGTGGTAATTCATTTCAAGCATAATAACTCAACAACTCATCATCAGTATTTAAAAACTTACCAATTTGATAAGGTAACACAGACAAATATTCTGTTATCAGTGCAAAATCCAATTTTCCTGGATTTATTCAAACCTCTTACTACAGATGCTGAAGCAGATACGAGAATCAGATTGAGCATTAGTTTAGAAAAAGAAAGATACAATTCTCTAAGGTGAACTTTCAAAACCATAGAGTATAAATCTAAATCTATTTCTTCATGACCTCTCTTTGTTGTTGCCTTCTCAGAATTCTGTAACACACCGTAATAGGCTGTCCTAGTCTCAGGCATTAGCTGTCTGTTCAGTCTAAAACCAGCTGTGGTGTTCCTGAGTACTGAAGGCTATTTAAGCTACTCTGGGAGAGGCTGTAAATAAATTCTAATTCTAGCCATGTAAGCTCGTTATATAGACTGTAGTAAGCTGTTATAGTGAGTCAGCGTCCTTGTGGACTGATGATTTTAGTGAATTAGTACAGTCACAAGTTTGTGGGTTAACACCCTCACATGCTCACTATCAGACACACGCACGGCTTTTCTAAAACTGTGCTCTAAAGTTCAGAAGCAATATTCAGTTCTGTTCAGTACGACCATATCCTGGGAATTTTGTTATGTGAGTTGTGTCATGGTAGTAGTTATCATGGCTTCAACATCTCGGTATGCAAGGGCTGAAAAAAGTCATGGTGTGTTAAATAAAGATCAAGAGCATCATGATATAAAGTCAGACTCCTGTTTAGGTTTAAAATAAACTTACAATACAATTTTTTTGGGACACTGGCTTTAGCTCATAAGAGTGTTTTTGTATTGAGGAAGAGGGGCACGTATGATGGGGACTCAGTTTCCTTCGTGCTACCTATTCACTTGGAAAGAAGCTACATTAAAACATAGTTTACAGTGCTATTACATAAATTAGAGTCACATTTTGTGAGTTATTTTGTTAGTTAGGCCTCCTTTCGTCTGGAATCGAATGCAAAGCAGCTGGTGTCAGGCACGAGACATGGGAATAATTGCCAGTGATGATAGGTAATGATGTATTTTCTGACTTGGCACCAAAAGAGCAAGTGGAAATTTTTGCCACTGCTGCTTCCAGTGGTGCTGTAGCCACTTTTTCTGCTTTGTGCCCATTGAGCTGCAGACCCACTCCAAATCCTCAAGGATATGATGAAGACCTCAGATTAGAAGAGCTATTTCTTTTGTTACTTGGTTTATAAATGTGCCGTGAAGCTGCATGCACACTGTTACCCATTATATTTGGACAAAGATGAATAGCTGCTCTTTTTTTAGCTTGAGTTGGATACAGCTCATAGTACGAGAATAAGTACACTTTTCCTTTTGTTACCGGTTCTTACTTGACCACCTCGGATCCGTGTCGGAAACACGTGCAGTTTGTGCATCAGAGAAGTTCATTTGGTGAGCTAGGGCCCAAAATCAGCAAACTGACTTAAAATCAGCCATGTTTTTCTCCCTCTCTTTTTTGGCAATTGGTGTCACATGTCTCTGTTCTATTGATAGTCAGTCTGCAATGTTAAACTGTCCCTCTCTCCCATACAGTTCCAACTCACACAGTCCATCACCTCCAAGCAGCTCAAACGCCTTCAGTCTGCTGAGCTCAGAGCAAGACAACCCTTCAACCAGCGGCTGCAGGTTAGTGCAGTGGCAACCGAGTCCTTTCCTTTCCTTGCCTTTCCTTTGCTTATTTTACTTTACTTGCCTTTCCTTTTCTTTAATTTCCTTTCCCTTTACTGTATTTCCTTTCCTTACCTTTGCTTACTTTCCTTGCCTTTCCTTTATTTGTTACCTTCACTGACTCTTACTTCTTCACATGTCCAACTTGTAGTAGTCAGGAGTCTGCCAAAGCCAAGACCCAGAAGGAGGTTCTAAAAATTCTGAAAGAGCTCAAGCTTCACCTGCCGGCTGAGAAGAAGCACAATCACACATCTTCCACGCTGAACACCCTCAAGTATGCCCTCCGCTGTGTGAAACAGGTAGAAGGTATGTCATGCATTTTAAGTAACAGTCTGTTTGCCTCCTTTGTATTTTCTCCTTTTACAGACAAAAAACAGTTTCTGCTTTCAGACTCCTTTCCACAGATCTGCATACTTAAATGCTTACTTCCTGGAGTAAAGCGAATGCTATAATTTTTCTCACATGAATGCTGCCTCTGTGAAATTCAGTCAGCAGTTGGCATTTAAAAGGAAAAAAATGCACACATTCTTAGTTGAAAGGAACATTTTTGTTGGTAATTTTAGATGTAATGGTCTGTAAATGCTTCATTTATTTTGCTCTTTTTAAATGCTTGCACATGTGTATGGGTGGAAAGAGGTTCAGCAGCACTGTTCTCCATATGGTTTTACAGATTGCGAGTTGTCGTACCCCAGCTCACCACAGACATGTTTAATCGCTTAAAAATGTCTTTGACGTCATTATGACTACATCATCGTTACTTTTCACGCCTTGGATATTTTAGTCATGAAGGCATCTGCTCTGTGTAACAGAGCAACACATTGTTTTACTGTACGTCTCCAGACACAGACTAACTGACTGTATCTTATTTCTTGCAGCAAATGAGGAGTATTATCAACTGCTGATGATAAATGACAGTCAGCCCTCTGGCCTGGATGTTTCCTCTTACACGATAGAGGAGATTGACAGCATAACTTCAGAATACACCCTCAAGAACAATGTGAGGCAAAGTTCTCTTTTCTTGACAAATGTTTTTTCTTATTTTGAAATTAACACACAAAAATACATTTGAATCCATGGCTTTGAGATTACTCATTCATCCGTATTTTGTATTCTGTGTGTTCCGCAGGACATTTTTGCCGTAGCGGTGTCTCTTATCACAGGGAGAATAGTCTACATTTCTGACCAGGCTGCCTCCATCCTCAATTGCAAAAGAGAAGTGTTCAAGGACTCAAAGTTTGTGGAGTTTTTGACACCACAGGATGTTAGTGTGTTCTACAGCTTCACAACTCCTTACCGCCTTCCCTCCTGGAGCATGTGCACTGGAGCAGGTACAACAACACAACTCTTTGCAAACAGTCAATCATTGCACTGCATGTCCAATGCAAAGCTTTGGAATTCACATCAACATGACACATTAAGTCATCTTAGTTGTCCAAAAAGATTGCTAGATTATTTTAATGTTCCTTTAAACCGAGCTGAAAAGGACAGACAGACCAGTTTGCTTGTAAGGTATACCTTGCAAAAATGTTTTAAAACTGATTGCTTTTAAAGGGTCACAATGCAAAATGCACAAACTGCCAACAGCCATCTTAAGACTTTTTTTCAGGGACTCGTTTAGAAATATTATTTATGGGATACATTATTGATCACATTGATCACAACCAGTAAGTCAGCTTCCTCAAATGTTCCACACACCACATACCCAGAAACACCCTTTATATTTATTTATAAATCTATTCCCTACATGCTTGGAAAATGTTCCACCAAGCTGAGTTTCTATTTATATTTACTAAATATGCATTATGTGCAAAGCCGCGCTTCAAGATGATGGGTATTGATGCAATTAATACATTTGGCTGCGCCTGTATTTTCCAAATTCTAGATTGTCATTCAAGCAGATCATGTTCCTTTTGAATTTGACCATTCCTTTTCCCATTACAGAGTCATCCCCGCCTGACTGCATGCAGGAGAAGTCCTTTTTCTGTCGTATCAGGTGAGCTGGAGTTGGTTCACAAGCACAGTCGAGCCATCTGCTGTTCTTAGCTGTTTGAAGTGTATATTCATAAAGACAATCTGTTTTTTATGCCTTTTAATTGATTTGTGACATCATATGCGTAAGAGCTGTAATTAGATGCTTTTTCCAGGTCAGTAATATAAACACAAACGCACTGTCACAATTGAGATTTGGCAGAACAAAGAAAGGAGACTGAAGATGGTTTTATGAAAAGCCTTCTAAAAAGCAAGTATAGATAATACCAGCTAAAAGCCAAAACAAAAAAGAAAACAGTTAACTTACTGACAGAAAGACTAGTGGGGATTCCCTGAGAAACAACATCAATGTGCAGGCGCTGAACAATGGATTAACTGCCGGAAATGTATACAGAAGAAGGTCATAACAAATGAGAATTATGTTTAGAAGACCAAGTCTGCACGGGAAGCAAACTCTGAGCACACAAATAAAAAAAACTAAAAAATGAAACAGAAGCTAGGAAATTGCAGAGCGAAGCGTAAACCCCAAAACCAAAAGTCACAACAGCTCCTCCATCGTGACACACATACACACTGCGTTTGCTGGGTGTGCGGTCGCTTTAGTGTTATCTCCCAACTTCACTCCTATTGTCACTGATCTGCCATCACAGTATGGGTCCCAAACCACACACAGAAATATCTAGGAATCACATCAATGTTTGTTGATTCATATTTACTTTGCAGATATCGAAAGGCAAAAATTGCTACACAGCGCCCCCAAGTGTTCTTTCCTTTGCACAAGATTTTTTATTTAAACATTGTAGATTAAATCAAGGCTACATTAAATCAAAATTTTAATATTGTGCTTATAAATTTCCAGTGGTGGCAAGGAATGTGAGGGAGACCTACGATACTATCCATTTCGCATGACGCCTTACCTGATGAAGGTCCAAGACACAGTGCATGCCGAGGACCAGTTCTGCTGCCTCCTTCTGGCCGAAAGGGTTCACTCCGGCTACGATGGTAAGAAACACACAGCAGGTTTGAAAAAAATAAATATATGTATATATATATCTACGTTTACACAGAAAATGTTTATAATTTTTGTTACTATTAAGTATTTCATCCTAAAATCCATTTCTTTCCAGCGCCCAGAATACCTACAAACAAACGTATTTTCACCACCACACACACACCAAGTTGTGTGTTCCAGGATGTGGATGAGAGGTAAGATATTAATTCTGACTATTTGGACTGACGTCCCTGAACACAACACAGGTGGTATAAGTGTAGATTATGTGTTTTTTGTTATCAGGGCAGTTCCTCTTCTTGGATATCTCCCTCAAGACCTGATTGGCACCCAGCTCCTTCTTCATCTGCATCCCAATGACCGACAGGTCATGCTGGCCATTCACAAAAAGAGTGAGTCCAACCAGATGAAACAGATGAAGGATCAATATGTGCCATGATCTGATGTTTTAAAGATTTCAAATGTTCCTTTGCAGTCGTTCAGTTTGTTGGGCAACCGTTTGACCACTCATCCATCCGTTTCTGTGCACGAAATGGAGAGTACATCATCTTAGACACCAGCTGGTCCAGCTTTGTGAACCCCTGGAGCCGAAAGGTCTCTTTTGTGATTGGGAGGCACAAAGTCCGCACGTGAGTATTTTTCTCAGGACTAACAAAGAACATATACATATAGTCAGAACTACATAAAGATCATTAAGCTGCTGTTTAAATCAAATGGTTCCACAAGTCTCAATCTGTTACTTGTTTCTCTTACAGGGGCCCTGTGAATGAAGACATTTTCACACCCGCCGTGGCGACTGTCAGCCATATGAAAACCATGGAGTCTGACATAGTGGAGATAACTGAGCAGATCCATCGGCTTCTGCTGCAGGTGAGAGGAGACAATATCAAGAAAAGTTATTTGATAAATCATTGAGGAACACATATCATTTAAACCACAAAGAGAAGACACAAGTGCTGACAAATAAGACACCAGAATGGCATGTTCCTCCCTTAGAATAAGGTTTACAACACAGTGGAAGAAAAAGCAGCTGTTGATGTTTTTCCATCACATGCTACAGTAGATAACAGCTTGACTTAGCAGGGCTCCCATGCTTTGTTTTCCATTACAGTCCATACCCCCTGATTGGGTGGGATCCGCTGTGTATCGCAGATTTATACACACTGTGAAAAAATTAGACTGGGGAGTTTCATATATTTAATAGTGATTTTCCTTCACCAGTCAGATCAGCAGTTTACAGTTTTTTCATGTGATCCTTTTTCATGTTTCATCTTATCTTAAATTAAACCTCACCTGAGTAAAGACAAACAGGAACAGTTGTATCAGTTAGTATTAGTTAAACGGTGCTATCTTTTATGGAAAATGTGAAAAAAAACATGTCAAGGAATATCAAAACCCAAAGGAAAGAAACTATCTAACTATCTCTGCATGCTTTCACCCGGCAGCAGCATCCCCTCAGTGACCACTTTTCTGAACTCTTCCTCTCCTCTCTGTGTCTGCACACAGCCGGTTCATAACAGTGGGTCCAGTGGTTACAGCAGTTTGAACAGCAACGACCAACATTTGGGCATGACATCTTCGAGTGAAAGTCTGAACAACGGCAACGAGAGTAAGATGCAACAAGAGGAAGGAAGAGAGAGCAGCAAAAGCAGACCTGTAAGTATTACCAATCTGTACCTGAAAGTACACCACGAGATGCATTATAATATAAAATTGAAATGGAGTTCTGGTTTAATAAATAGGCGTGTGGTTGTTGCAGAAACCTTCCTGTTCAGTCTGTTTCTGCCATTTATTTCCTGCTGGGACTGAACTTCCCTTAAGAGATTTGCTGTGTTTTGATTTTAAACTTGTTTTACCGCATTTTTCTTTAGTTTCTTGAATGATATGTTGACTCTGAGGTCTTTTGTCACGCTTTCGCAGCGCACATTTCAGGAAATCTGTAAAGGAGTCCATCTTCAAAAGAGCCAAGAGCAGCAGAAAAAAAGCAATGCTAGTAAGTCTCATCCAGTCGGTGGGCAAAGGTGACATTTACCTCTTTAACTTTACACTTTAAATCACTTTAAATCTTGACCTGTCTCAAGCAGAGGCGACACAGACGAGCCAAGTGGCGGTGCGACCCAAAGACTCGGCCCCTCCTCTTAACTGGAAGGACAAAACTATTGAGAGCAGAGCCTCCTTTCAGGAGGAGTTATCCCTCAGTGATCAGACTGGCTACTCCTACCAGCAGATCAGCTGCTTGGACAGTGTTATCAGGTACACAAATAAAGGCTGACATGAATGTGATAAATGCTCTCCTTTTTTTGATGGGTTCCACATAAAGAATTTAACCACAATCTGTCTGGAATGGCATTACTATATCCAACATAGGTGAAAAGTGGAGGTAAAACTGACCTTGGTTATGTATTTTATGTCTCCTGTAGGTACTTGGAGAGCTGTAATATTCCCATCTCCATGAAGAGGAAGTGCCATTCTTCCTCCAACACCACGTCATCCAACTCAGATGAAGACAAACAGAAAAGGTCAAATAGCATGCCGGTGTCTGAAGGTATGTGATCCCAGTTTTTAATATTAGACAAACCTTTTAAGATATACTTTTAACTTGCCATATAAAGCAACAGCTTTGTTAGGCATTCACACTCTTCCCTTTAAATATCTCTCTCAGCCTCAGAAATGCCAGTGCCTCATCAGAAGCTCTTGTTCTCTGTTCTCTTTGGCAGAACCAGCCTTATTGAAGGATCATTCCGCTCTCACTGCTTTGGATGACCCTGGCAAAAAGTCCAGTGACACAGGCACAGCGGTAGTTGGCACTGCGATGCCTCTACCTCTTCCTAACAAACCAGAAAGCGTGGTGTCCATAACCAGCCAGTGTAGCTACAGTAGCACCATAGTTCATGTTGGGGACAAGAAACCTCAGCCAGAGTCAGGTACAGTGGTGTGACAAATACTGATCTCCAACCAGATTGCCTCCATTGTTCCATATTTTTCACACTGAAACAACAGATTGTAGAAATAATGTAATTATCAGTATTTGATATGGTCTCTTTAACATGTGATTGATAGTGGCTACTCACTAATTGACAGTGATTACTCACTCATCTTTTAGTTCTTACTTACTTACAAATCTTTTACTTCTGTAGAAAGTCCAGCTAATCGTAGTAGACTTGATGATGATGTTACCACTCAGTGTGAGAAATATCAAACGATAGAAGAAATCGTAAATGAGGCAAATGGTTTCTCACAGCACTGTAAACGCGTGTGTGTCTGCACTGCTTTCTCTGTGCCTCTATGTATCTGTCTGTTTGCTTGGCAGCTGGAACCTCAAACACAGACAAAGTTCTCTCTGCCCACTATTGACCAGCCTGGCTCAATTGTCATATAAATGCTCAAAGAATGTCCAAAATAACTGCTTTAAGTCTTATATAAAGGTAGTAAACATCTCAAAGGGAGAGATTTCACAGTCTCTCACAGCCTTTGGGTTTGCCGTGTTTTATTCTATGTCTTGATCAACACCAGCTGGAATTTTAAGTCCAGCAAAAAAATATTAATTGCTTGGTTTCTTTTCCAACATGTTTGCTAATTACGCAGTTGTGTTTGGAAAAAAAACAGCACAGTACATCTTTTAAAAAATGTGTAATCATGTCTGTCTGGATGATTCATAGGAATTCTAACTTATTAACCCTGGACATGAACAACCAGATAAAAGAGGTCACTCTGCCTCTGCAGAGGAAATGGGCTCCCTTTTTAACGTCCTTAAATTGAAAAGAAAAGCTATCTAACCACCAGCTTTGTACTATATAGCCCTATCATCTTGGTTTTATAGATGCTTACGTAATTGTGTTGTATTGAATGTGAATAATTGTGTAGCATTAGATGTTTGTGCAGGTTTGCAATATTTCTATTCTTCATCCTGTCTTTGTGAATAACTTTATTGTGTGGTCGTTTTACACTCATTCAAGCTCTGTGGACTGAGAGCAGAGCCTGAAAACCTGTTCCCACTCCCATGTAACATGCTTAATCTGCAATGTGCCCTTTACCTGTTGTTCATGTGCTCCGTCGTTTTAGTAGATTTAAAACTTTGCTTGCTGACAGGTTTCTCATTGTACTGCAGCTCAAATGTTGTTCCTTGTTTGCAATTGGCATTTGATAAAAGCAATGTCATTTTACACAACAGAGGAAAATGTCTTGTTTCACTAAAATCCAGATTAATTAGCTATTTGGATGTGAGCCTCTGTAGTGTTTTTTTGCATTGCTTTTCTCGTAATCCATGCTAACGGTTAACAGCTTTGTGGCCCGATACTCCTCCTATCTCTGTTCGACGGTATGTTGACGTTATCGTCTCGCTTTCATTCGTCCAGAAATCATCGAAGATGGTGTGGGGGAGACAGCTGAATCCATCCAGAATCCCGGCATTCATCCATGTGCCGTTTTACCTCCCACTCACGAGAAAGAGCCCTACAAGAAGCTGGGCTTGACTAAGCAGGTGTTGGCAGCCCACACGCAGAAGGAGGAGCAGGCTTTTCTGTGTCGTTTCCGAGAGCTTCGTGGACTCGCCGCCATCAAAGAAAACTGCTCCCAGTACCTGGAGCATCACAGAGACAAGATCGGCAGCGACGGTAACACAAACCACAGGCAGCATACTTTCACACCACAGAAAAAGATGATTGGGCCATGATTAGTGTGATACTGGGTTTTACAAAGGACACACACATCAAAAGACACACGTTGGCAAACATCAGGTTCACCCAAACCCTGAATTTAGATATAAGTATCAATCAGAATTCTGACACACAATGTGATGTCACATTGTCAAGGTTTTGGACAAACAAATGGGGAGGTGTCCAAACCTTTGACTGTAACCTCATGAGTGAAGTTTAGTTTAGAGCCTCACATACCACCATGTACTACTTTTTTTATTTAAAAGAGGGAAATTTTCACCAGATTCCCAAATAGCAGTTAATAACTCTTTTTTTGATTGTTTGTCTGTTTTGACTCTATAGCTGTATGTGCAGCTCAGCCTACTAAAAAGAAAGAAGCGGATGCCAATCAGACCGCACGCCGGAGTTCACGAAATAAAAAGTCAAAGCGAGCCAAGCGTGTCGCTTCCACCGACAGCCCGGCGTCCCTTCACAGACCGCAGCAGCTGCGGCCTCCGCAGCCAAACCACGGCCTTAAACAGACGCTGTCGTCCCCCTCTGATAGCTCACAGTCCACCTTCCCAATGGCCTACCCTGCCGTGATGCCAGGCTACCCTCTGCATGTTTTCCCCAGAGCAGATTCCGTGTCTCCACACACACAAGCAACTCCTCAAGACTTTACAGAAAACCAGGGTTCCCAAGCCCCCCCTTTCCCCCCATCCATTCAGTCCGCTCCCTACACTCCCCCCATCGTCACCCCGATGGTGGCTTTAGTGCTGCCCAACTATATGTACACCGTGCTGGGTGCTGGGCAGCCACCCCCACCACAGCCAGTGTACCCAGTGGACTTAGGGGGCTATCCCACTTTGCAGGCTTTGCACCCTTTCGGTCAGGCGGCCCTTTTAAGCCAAGGTGCCTTCACGTCTCCACCCTCCCTCATCAGCCAGAATCAATTCAACACCACCAACCTCGTCGCTCCTCACGCAGCTTACCCGGGTCCGTCCCATGTTCCCTTATCCATGGAGACCCAGAAGCCCCACGCGGAGGGCCAGTCCCGCTCCTCCACACCACAGTCGGCCGAAGCCGGAGGCATGGAATCCCCGCCCCTGTTCCAGTCTCGCTGCAGCTCGCCACTAAACCTGCTGGAGCTGGAGCTGTCCGTGGACAGGCAGGAGAGCGCGGCGCTCGCTCCGGGAGGACAAGGGAACGCCGTGGCCGAAAGGGAGAAAGCAGCAAGTGGCAACCAGACCAAGGAGCGGGGGCTGAAACAGGTGAAGGTAAGGAAAATAAACTTTTTTTTCCCTCTATTCCCTGTTCCCTCTACCTCTGGCTGACATTCTCCACCTGTGACCAACAAATTGTCTCACAGCAAGACCAATGCCTGGCTGAACGTTACCACCACGGTATTTTTTAACCTCCTTAAATAGGGTGTGGTAACCCCCCCCCTTAGGGCGCGCGGCCATCTGTCACCACCCTTTACAGTTGATTGATGATTGGGATTAATGCCCAACATCATAGAGATCTATGCAAATATATTCAGTGTAATGTTACTGCGCTTTTTCCTTTTTTTTGTATGTTTTTTTTTGCTATTTTATTGCTGTGCCATGTTTAAAGTCAAGACAGTCAAGACTCCTCAGATAAACTGTAGCGCTGGGTGTTAATACATGATGTTATTATCCCTTACACCCTTTAGCCCTCTCTCAGTCTCCTTGGTCCACCAGGACCCTTGTATTTCGAGGGCACACCCTGTGTCTGTGAGCGTTTGTCTTGGGATAAAGTGTGGTCTAGGCTGGGGTCGTGCAGCAAAGAGGTAGGCAAATCATCAGAAAACCTCCACACTTTTAAATCCCATTCCTCCCAGATTCCATAAATATCAGCTATAACAATTTCCCATTTTTGAATGCATATGTCCTGTGATTTATATTTTAACCTGCACTGTTCTTATCTATTGAATTGTTGGAATGCGTTTTTGATGTTGAAGAAAAAAAACAGAAAAACAGAAAAATTGGTTGGATATTTTATCTCACATCAATATGTAAAATAAAAATGGGGGGTGGGGGAGCTGCCTACTTAGGCAACAGCAAACAAGATACACAAGATACACAATGAAAAAGGTCGGTCTGGGTGGGGTACTGCGAAGGAACTCCAGGAAGCAACTGGGCAAAGCAGAATACTACAAGATAACCTCAAAATAACTTATAACTTACTTTGCTTATTTGATTTAATTGAGACCTGGTCAGACCTCCTTTGGAAGCACTGATTATCAGGTGCTAAGCATTCAAAAGATTTTTGGACTTCTATTTCTCTCTACAGCCAGATTCACAACATGTCTGGGGTAAACTATTATGGTCTTGACAACTGGACCTGCCTCAGTGTTAATGGGTACATTTTCTGATGACTCATCAGATGACAGCCACTCTAACATTCTCCTGCAACATGCCTCATTAACTTTTTCCACTTTGTCCCTGGCCCAAGGCAGAAAAACACTTCATGATGGTGCTTTAACACACTTCACTTTAGGTATTGAGTGTTATTTATGGGGAAACAGAGTCTTTTCAAACCACACATAGTTCTGTTTTTTTTACCAGACCATTCAACCTGAGCTTACTCAGGCCAGTGTGCGTTGGGCCAACACTACATGGGAATAGCTGACGGTCAGCAGTTAAGATAGACGTTTTACTTGGTTACATATTCATTGAACGTTTCTCAGACACACACAAATTGTCCTAAATGACTAAGCTGGGTACTCAGCATTATTGAGTTGTAAGATAATTCTTAATCAGTGCGCACAATTAAATGATCATTACTCTGATTTATGTGTCATGAGGTGATGCAGAGTTTGCTGTTTTTACTAATATGAAGATCTGACCATCTTTTAAGGCAAATTTTGCACTTTCAAAATGTGAAATTGCTTTTTTCACTACTACACATGCACTCTGATATTTGAAACTGGTCTTTAAGACTTAAACAGAGTTACACCCGTTTTAAATTCGGAATATATTATACTCTTATTTTTCACATTTTTGTATTATATTGAAGTAATTATTGAGCACCAGGTGTTTGCTGAGACACTACATGACCTAACAGGAGCAGCAGGCGGACGGTTTGCTACAGCACAAGGGCCAGAGCAGTTTAGCCAAACTTTTAATGCTATTTCTACACCATTTGTGTTTATGCAGAGAGGCTCGCATGGCGATGGCAACAACAGCGATGTAAACTCTTCATCCAGCGACATGTTGGACATCATTCTCCAAGAGGACTCCTGTTCGGCCACCTCTGGGTCCATGGCCTCAGGGTCCAACGGCTGTGGGACTTCGGCCAGCGGGACATCTAAGAGCAGGACGTCAGCCAGCAGGACCTCAGGCAGTTGTTCAGGTCTGCACACAAGTTATGGCATGTTAGAAATTATACACATCCTCAGGGGTAAATGAGCTGAGCAGAGCTACGACGGCAAGCCAGAAAATACTAAAGTCAACACAGCTGTTGTCATGCATTGTCTCTCAAGTGAATAACCTAGATGTAGTTTAATGTCCAAAAAAGAGGATTCATTTTCTGACTTTTAATTCATCTTTAAAAAAAATGACTAAACCATTACATCGTGAGATTTAAAGATTATTTTACTAGTCATTTTTGTAAAACTGGACAAACTTTTATTCCTAGTGAACCTACATTTATTCATTTTAGAACGTAGGCTGTGGTTAATGTTTCAGTTTTTCTCTTTTTTTCAGGAAGTAACAACAGCAGCAAATACTTTGGCAGCGTGGACTCATCTCAGAGCAATCAGAAGGTCAAAGGTCACCTGAGCAACGGCGAAGAAAGGCCTGTGGAGACAGAGCAGAGCGAACAGTTCATCAGGTATGAATTACAGGACCCACTGTGGTTACTCAAAACCAACACAAATGATAGATATACATGCAGTACATGTAAAAGTTTTGTTTAATCTCATTCAACAGCTAGATTCTGATTATTTTCTCCTTCTTCTCATCAGACACCTACAGTCAACACATTTTACCTGAACTACATAAAGTTGATTCACAGTTTTACATATTGGGATGACATTGACCAAATGATATGTTTGTTTGTTTTTTACAAAACTGTGAAATAAAATCCTTCATCTGTTGCTCTGAATGTTGACTTGTCCCTTTTTACTCCACATGAATTCCCCAAATAGCAGGACCCACTCAAGAAACATTCTTTGTGTCCAGTGTTAATGACTCAAACCCTCATTAAATTCAGTGCACCCATTGATCTTACATCTATCTTTTATTAAATTATTAGCTGGTTGCGAATGCGGCACCAGCCCGTGTAAATTATGAATTTAAAAAAATCTAAAGTTGTACCCTTTAGGGTGTTGAATAATATCTTTAATTCAGAAGAAGATCATAATCAGGGTAATATTCCAAATGTTGCCATTAATGAATGTTCAGCCACTGGGTAACTTTCCTGTGGGTTTCCATAACAACTGAATTTCCCCATTGTGGCGTTCTAAAGTAAAAATCCATCTGAGGCAAACATGTGAGTGTGTTGTAGTGAAATATTTGACCAGTAGATGGCGATCTCACGTCATTGTAGTATATGGGGTTCCAGAATTCCAACTCATGAACAATTGTGTGGTAAAACTTTTAAAAGTGTATTAAGAAAATTAAACAGATAAAATTATCATATTAATTCAAACTAAAAACTCTCCAATAACTCGATAATTAGGAGAATCAAAGGATTTGTTGACACTGAGTCATCGTCCAGCCCTTGTATGTGAAATATGTTGTCAGATGAGGCTTTTACTGAATGTTGTTGTTTGTGTTGCTTTTTTCCTCAGCGAAATCCACAGAGTCCTCAGAGAGGACAAAGAGAAGCTGAAGGTGCTGCACAAGGCCCAACCTCACTTCTCAGAAGAGCAGAAGAAGGAGCTGATCGCTGTCCACCCCTGGATCAAGAAGGGAAGTTTACCCAAAGCCATAGATGTCAAGGTAAAAAAAAACGACTTTCATTTCATTTTGGCATCCGCTGCTCTTCATTTCACCGGCCTGACTGAATTTGACCCTCGTCTTCCAGGGCTGCACCTGCTATGACGGCACTTTGGAGGCTGCAGCGGGAGCAGATGACCAGCTGGACGTGGACCTCAGCGATCCAGAGACGGAGGGTGTCGGCTGTGAGCAGAGGCCAGACGAGGAGCCCTCAGACTCTGCCGTTATTGCCTGCTGTGTCAGTCCGTTAGCAAACTCCCACCTGGAGATACAAGATGACAGACAATAAACACGTGTTTCTTAGGAAGACTACTACTACTCAACATTGCTTTACAGAATTGTGAAGAGCACATCTCAAAGCTGATTTTTATGGGCTCCTACTTGTTCCGCTCACTGTACAATCCAGATTTTGTAGAATGTGAATATATTTGACCGACATCGAATTTAATTTTGTCAAGCAACTCTTGGCAGGATTTTGTAATTTGCTTGGGGAATTACTGAACTCTTTCTCAACATGTGTTTTATTAGGTTTTTCTCTTCATAGCACATAGCAATGTGTGACTGTTAGAAATCAGATGGTACACTAATAGGGGACCCAGCATCTGATAGGGGAAGAAATAACTTTCAGAAATACTAAGAAGTCGAAATTCTATATTTATATGCATGAACTCACCATTCAGAAACATTTCTTCTGTTACAACCACACTTTGCCATCCCAGCATATGTTGAGAGCAGCTTTTAAAGTAAGTAGTTTCAAGTCCCCATCACCAAGCACCAATGAGCACAAGTGCACTTTGTGAGCGACTGTGGATAAAGAGTAAAACCCTTTGAGAGTAAAGTCAAACTGTTCCATTTAGCGAGAGATATTTATGGTGAAATTACAAGCTCCCTCAGTCTCCCCCTAGTAAGCTTTTCACCACTTTCCTCATGACTGATTTTATGTTGCACTTGAGAAAAAAAAATCAGGGGTAAAGTAGCTGAAAGATAAATGTAGTGGAGAAAAATGTGCAATAATTCCCCTCTGCAGTAAACATCAATCTAAATAAATTGGATATCTAAAGCATATATATGCGATTGCAACACTTGGAAGTGACAGAGACTTCTGAACTGGACACTAACTCTGAGCTTTAGCTGTGTGCTGCATTTACATCACCAGGCTGCCGGGTTGTAAATTTCACCATTGCCACTGAACAGTTTCCTTTTCCTGCGGAGCCATCTCTGCATCGATCACCAAATGCACCTTAGTCTGAGCACATTATCGGTCACCTGTATTTGCAAAATGTTTGTTTGATCATTTTCTTTGTTGCCTCATGTTTAAATGAGCTGACGTATTTCAATGCTTGTGTTAATGTTTGTAACAGCCCTTGAGTATACATAGCATTTATATTTTTACATACAATAACTGTTTTTTTAAAAAAACAAAAAAAACAAAAAAGCACATAGATCTGTTTTTAAGCTTCAAAAGCAAAGCGGACCAATATGAAATATTCTTACTGTATATACCACATTAAAGGTGTGAGTACTATAACGGCCATTGTGACAGTTTTCAGGATAGACTGGAAATACCAGAGCTGTAAATGTTGGGATCATACAGTAAAAGCATGTTGGTTATCCCAGTTTTGAAAATGTGCTGTGACTCTTGACGTGGTCTGACGTTATCCCAGAGAATATGATTGAACGACATCCTGAACTCTGCAGCTCAGGATCCAGGCAGGTCACTTCAGACTGATTTTAGGGGATTTGCATGTTTGTAAAGGAGCTCAGACGGATGTCAGATGGTCGGATTTCATGCTGTAATTTGACATGGTGCATTGTTCCCTCTGTGCAGCTTCAACATTTCCTGAATTTGACATGTCTTTTTTTTTTCTTTGCTATTTAAGCACTCTGACTTGCATATAGTTGTTTTTTTAGAAATTTATTTTTCCTTAATTTAACCATAATTATTTTCTCTGAATAAAAATATTTCCTAATTTTCACAAGAGTTTCAAATCGTTTCTTTCCCCTTGTTCCTTTTTATTTAGACAAAGGAGTAGACGCACATCAGCCCAAAATTTTGTCTTTCCAGATTCAAACTCTTTTATGAGATTTGGGAGTTTTTCTGCAGGTTCATTCATTTAAGAGCGAATGGATATAAATATAATACGCGATGGTGCACAACTGTGGTGCTCAAATAAGGAAAGAAAACCAGTGATGTTTAAATCGCTTTGTCCTGGGGTTGTGACTTTCACCACCTGATGCAAATGTCTGTCTGAACATTTAAAGAAGTTGTAATCCACTGCTGGCAGACATCCAGCCTCCCAGATCAAAGAAAACATCCTCCACTCCAGTCCTCCGTTCTTCACACCTTTAGAGTTATTTGAAGTTGAAGGCGAGATGCGAAAATGCACGAACTTCCCCCCCTGTTGCGGTCATTTACACCTCCGCGGATCCGCAAATCCGGTTTAGCCTTCAGAATGACATAAGCGTTTCATTATCAACAACTATTTGTACGCCTTTGTTTCCCCCTCATTTTACTGAATCCGCCTAATGCTGTATACCAGTAAATTTAAGCAATTTTTTGGAAGCTCATAATAAATCTATACATATATATATGGAGGAGAGAGAGAGAGAGAGAGAGAGAGAGAGAGAGAGAGAGAGGCAGCATAATATATATTGAGGTGTAGAATACTAGAGTTTTTTATTTTGAATAAAAGAACAAAGCCAGAGACATTTTAATCGTTTGGCCCTCTTCATGATAAGTACATCCACTTAACATATGAAGAAGCATTTATTTTTTAAAGCAATGTGTAAATCTATCATGTATGTATATGGGACAGTTTGGTATGTGGCTGTCATTTTGACTGGCAAAGAAGAAAAACCCTTTGAAATATACAAGACTGAAAGGTAAAGAGCAGAAACCACTACATAATACACAAGTTTTATTCTACTACTGTATCAAAGCACAAAGTTACTTCCCCAATGCCAATGCTAATCTCTTTCTTGTCAGTTTTTGAGAGGTGGTGTTCAGACTGTGGACAGCGTAAGAATCGACACTTTGAGTTGACATCACAGGAACACCAGGAAAGACTTGTGACCAGAATGAATTAAGAGCGGCTTCGAGAACCGCTTCTCTTCTCATTCATTAGTTGTAAATGAAGCTTAGTGCACAGCTCTCACCAGCAGCCCTGAAGATGCAGACTGTCTCTGAAATCTTAGTCCTTCATTTTACAATGTGATGAACTCACTGGGAGCCTTAAAAAAAAGCCATGACTGAGCAGGATATTTGTATAAAACACCAAAAAGCTTAGCTGAATTAGAGCTGTAAAACCCATTTGACAACTTTTCAAGAAGGCCTATAAAAGGAGTGAGTGGATTACTCATTTCACACCTCACAATTGCCTACGACTTGCTGAGGGATCTTGGAGAAAGAGAGAGAGAGAGCACGCACACACACTTGCCCACAAATGCAGAGTAATAAATACAATCTTTGTAACAGACCAAGGTGGGTGGTTAGTGGGATTTTTGTGTGTGAAATGCATCTTTTTAAGGCAGTCTGCAGCACAAATAGCCACTACAATAGGGCATTTGTTTAAAAGATATTTATTGGAAAGTTCATCTATGGTGAAATCACATGAGGTACCCAACAGACATTTGATATGCATGAATACAAAGTTACACACTTCCTGAGGAGGAAATAATTTATATGTGCTCACAATGCAACTCTAGAGGGTAAACTACGGTCTATACAGCCCGTTCAACAAGTACATATTTACAAATGCCTTTATTCCCTTCACTGAAGGTCACTGACCTCTGCAAAAGAGACATAATAACATATTTAATTGCAATTCAAGTGTATTTTACAAAAGAGCTTCTTGGATGTCTTTTAACAAGTTAAAAATGATTTCATTGGTATTTTTGTCATGAACTGTGGCCTATACCATCTAACACCCTAACAACTAACCATTCAATCATTACAATTTATCATGCCTCTCCATTTTAAACGGTCTACCACGGTCTCCACACCAACTTCGACCAAATTAACCCCGGAAACACATCCGGAATGTTTGGTTCCTCAGACGAGGAAACGTGGCTTTGCTCTGTGTCTGTCTCATCCAGATCAGAGCTGAGTTCATCCGGGGAGAAGGGGGAATGCACCGGGGACACCAGAGCCGTGTACGTGCTGTCAGGCGACAACCAGGAACCGTTACAGCCGGGGCCGTCCGCCACACTGTCCGGCAGCACCAGGCGCAGCCTGTCGTCGTTGTTCAGGGGCATGCTCTCCAGCAGGTGGTTTAAAAGCTCTGCGGCTATCGCCGGGTCCATTCCCGGACAGCTGGACACGAACGTGTGGACGTCGTGCATACACTGGATGTAGCCCGCAGCAAACCGCTCACACGCCTCCCGGTTGGCTGCGTCCGCCTCTGAGGGGGAAAACACAAAGCCGCGCGATCGTTAATTAAATAACCGCCGTTCAGCTGGGATGGTCTATCCCTGGGCTTTGATTGGTCGAGCCGCGGTGGGCACTCGTCACTCTCCAATGGACCAACGCCGTGACCGCAGTACATTTAAATAATACGATATTTCTCCGCGTACTCAATTACTAGTTTGAAGTTTTAAAGAATTAAAGAACTATATTCTTTAAGAATTTAAAGAACTATATTGTTCAGAAGGTCCCTTTTTAAAGCAAGTATTAACATTAGCTAGTTTGCTCAGTCAGCATGTAAAACATGTATGTAAACTTTAATTTCCAATTATGTCTTGTTTAAAAGTAATGTTTACCTTGAGCACGGTTTTGCAGGATGTTCTCCACGCGTTTGACTGTCACCTCCAGCACTTCGGCATTCTCCATCTTTGACTGTAACTGTAGCGGATGACAAAACACACAAGTCCCGGCAACGTTAACCAAAGTGTCTTAATTAAGAGTTGTTAACGTTGAAGCGGTGCTACATAAAGCAGGTCGTCTCACATCTGCATCCGTCAGGAGAACCCTGAGCTCCTGTAAACTTTCATTTATGCGTGCTCTTCTTTTCTTCTCGACGAGAGGTTTCCTGATCTGGAAGAACAGAAGGGACGCTGTAGTCACATAGTCAGTCCAAGTCCGGTTGAAAGGGGAATATCAGCATTGAAGGGCCCACTTAATTTACCTTTCTGTCAGGCTTTGCTTCACTGTCATCTGTCTCCATTCCGTGCGTGTCGTTCCGGATGGGTTCCATACGGATGAAGTTTTGGGACGTGATCCAAACGGCCGTTAAAGCTCTTCAGGGGACAGATGGCCGTGCGATTACAGCGGCAGTGTGCTCTCGGAGAATGGGCTGTTAGTGCTGCTCCAGGGGTGCGTGTGCAGGGAGTATATGTAGCCTCATTTACATGTGAATGGCTGACCCAGAGGGCGCGCAACTCCCATCATCTGGGGTCAGCGAAACGTCAGCCTGACCCGAAGAGCGCTAAGACCCGATCCTAAAAACATTTCAGTAGCTTGTAGGGCAGTCAGTTTGTTTTTGTTTGTTTTTGTTGTGGCTTTTTTTTGTTTTTGTTTTTGTTTCTTAGAAAAAAAGTTCTTATCTGGGTAATCTATTAAACTCTATGCGCACAGATTAAGCACGTAGGAGATATTCTGCCACCCATATATCTGACAGTTCACACATTAGATCATTACTACGACCAATTCATTCTTGATTGTGAGCCATCGGCTGACCAAAGCATATGTGAATTGAACAGAGTGAGACTTTTCTTTAACACTCGTGGGTAAAGGATTTGGAAAGCTTAAGCCTGGGAATAAATAAGGAGCTGCTAACGCAGTGCTCCTCTATCTCATTCTAAGCTCTAATGGTGTACTTTAGGGAACATTTTTGAGAGTACATTTTTCTTCATGTGAAACAGCGTGTGCCTGTGCCAGTGCTGAATCATATGGACTGTCATGACTATTCGCATATGGCGAGAGGAGCTGCGTGTGCGTGGCGTGTGTGTGACCGTTTGCAGGCGTTGTCGGTTTGGATATATATCTACTAGTTCAGGGGTTGCAATGTATAACATTATCACTTTCACACTTTCGACGTGTTAAAAAGATCCTTGATTGGAGGCTGGATTGCACTCTTACAGAACATTGGTCACACGTGTAACCAAGTTGTACACCTGTTTAACCTGGTGTTAAAGATATTTTAACATAATGATCTATTGTCCTCATTTTGTTTCATAACCACATCATCTACAAATGTTGTTTCACAGTCTTACATTAACAGTAGTTTAAATGTTTCCACTGGAAGCTCCATGTTGATTGTATATCATGTTTTCCACTGTGTGCGTACAAGCCTCAATAATATAATAACTTGATCATTACTATTATTCCCCACTGACCTATTAATAACTTTATTGCGGTATAGATGCAGTCTGGGCCAATTTGAAACATCACAACATTTCCGGATGATAGTGTTCAGAACATGGTTGAGGAGAGATATTCAGCTTTAAATAAAATGCGGAAAACATTACCATATCAGGTGCTTACCTTCACAATAAGAGTACCATAGAATAGAAAATCCACAAAATGCCTCTGAATGTACTTATTTTAATTTCTAGCACATTCTAACTTTCAGCTATACCATTCAGTATGCAAATAATACCCGGAATGTGCATGATATGCACGGTTTTAGACGTGTAAGGCCTAAGCGGGCTTTTATTCTGACAGCAGCGAGGAGGCTTTCCCCTCAGACCCACACAGCGCTTGATCGTCAGAGAAGACGCGCGTCTGATGTCACAGAGTCCCGGGGGCGATCCAGCTTCTCTGCTTTATAAGCATCCCGGTCCGGTGGTCGAAACCAGCGAACTGAACCAGACACCAGACCAAGCAGTCACACACTGAGATAACAAACATGGTGAAGATAACTTTCCAGACTGTGTCGGCGCAGAAGCCCGAAAAAGACGGCGATGCGGACAAGATCACCATACCACAGGCTCACGTGAGTTTGCACACTGTCTTCCTTTGTTTCATGCTGTGGCATTTGATTTGATCCTCTGTATAGCTGTATAGAGTGAGCAAGCTTCACTCCTCTGGGCAGGGAGCAGATTAACAACAATGTTTCCCCTCATGCATCATGCACCAGGGATATAATTTTAAACATTTTAATTTTAGATGATATAGATTAAATTATATCATTTTAGATGGTTATAAATGGTTATAAAACATCTACAATTACG